CCAGTGATTTTTGCTGGTTTTGGCCCCCTCCTTAATGAAATCCTCGCGATTCTGAATGTGAACGCTTTTTTACGGTCCCAACTGTATAATTTCCCTCTGTAATGTGAACATTATAGAGGGTGTCGTTAAATTTTGAATTAACACAATGCATCTCATTGGCTAGTTTTGTGATTGGCTCAGAGAGAAATGGAGAAAAAAAAGTATTTTCAATCTCGTCTATACATAATTGAATTACGTCTTGTATGTTTATATGTTAATGTTAAATTATTAAATATGTCAACTCGTCATGAACTTTGTTTAGAACAAAAAATTAACCTTATAAAAGAGAAAGAAAATGGACTTTCTCATCGAGTATTAAGTGAAAAATTTCATATTTCAATTGGAGCTGTTTAAATATTTTAAAAAGAAAATTAGAATACACGAATGATTACGAATTGAACAGAAATTAAAAATTAAAAAGAAAATCCAAAAATGAATTTAATCATGTTATCAACACGGACGTCTATGACTGGTTCACTCTGCAGAGATCGAAGAATATTCCTATAAGTGGTCCAGAACTTCTTACTTAAAACCTTTTTTCTCATATTGTATATGGAATGTACAAATTTAATGAATAAAAATCTGTTGATCAATAGTAAAAGATGAAAACATATGGTTTAAAGTAAAAAAATGTTTTATTGCATGGTCCCCCTCCTGTATGATCACCCCATCATTATGAACGATTTTGAAAAGTCCCAGCGGTGTTCAGAATAGAGAGGTTTTACTGTATGAGCTAAAAATAAATACTCAATTACAGACATAAGTGCAAATAGGCAATGATCTAATTAAAGGTTTTGGATATCAGGGTAGATTTTTGAGATGAGTTACTTTGAATTATTTTAGTAAGCCGAAGGGATATATGTGAGTTCCACATTTTAGCCCCAAAAGGGCTGCGCTAATAAGCTTTTTTACCCGAATAAAACGTGTTCATAATTGGACGGGTTAATACGAATTGAATTTGCTCGAATCACATCGAAAAACAAAATCTTTTTTTAACTCAACAAAACGTGTACATAATTGGACGGGTTAATACGAATTGAATTTGTTCGAATTACATGGAAAAGCGAAATCTTTTTTAACCCAACAAAACGTGTTCATAATTCAACGGGCTCATACGAGTTAAATTTATTTGAATCCCATCGAAAAACGAAATCTTTTTTAACTCAACAAAACGTGCTCATAATTGGACGGGTTAATACGAATTGAATTTGTTCGAATTACATGGAAAAGCAAAATGTTTTCTACCTGAACAAAACGTGTTCATAATTGGACCCATTTTTGAACGTAAAATGGCAGGAAGCAATGTAAATTAACGAAGATTTTCTTAGTGCGAGAAAATTCCTCGATGAATATACGGTGGAAAACGGATGAAGGGTTCGTGAAAACGGCGTTTTATTCTTAAGGATGCGTAAAAACACCGTTTTTACGGATTTCTAAAGCGTTTTTACGCGTTTTTTTAAGGGTCGTGTCTGTCTGGGTAGCTAAAGTGGGTGCATTATTGGTGGTTTCTTGCATATTCTATTTAGAGAAGAAACGCTCACGCTTATCAGCACTCATGACCGTGAGCTGCACCTCCCTAATCCAGCGGGGTTCATGTATTTTACATTGTTTGAATATGGCTGTAAAGCGAATCATTTTTTGGTGCATTGTGGCAGACTCCGACGTATTTAGTAGATTTAAGTAGCTTCTAATAGATTTCCGTACACTCCAGTCAATATATTGTGCAATCTAATGCCCTTTATTAGGAGCAACAGGATCAACCAGGATCCTGGATCTGCTTTTCCCCCTTGTTAATATCAGTGTTGAGTAAGATCTCACCAATCATAAAAACAAGGATTTTTCAAGATCCTATCATGCTTTTGCTCGAAACACGAAAACTCTCTATGAACCTAATAATTTGCTGGCATTTTGCCCATCACAGGCCATGGCAGACGGCCTCCAGAATCCGTACTCCCCCCCCTCGCCCAGCAGACCCTGACAGGAAGTCTTCAGTGATCATCACAGATCGTGATAGGCGGCTTCTAAAGACCATCAGAAAGTCTTAAGAGGCCATCACAGACTACGACAGATATTTACCAGACGCTATCACAGGCTGATAGATAGGGTTCAGACATCACACAACCCGTTACAGGCCATCTTCGAGTCTAGTACAAATCATCATACGCAGTGACAAAGAAACTTTCTCACAAAATCAATAAAAACTTCATAGCATAGACCATTTTCATGTGATTGCGAGCGCTGATTATATCGTGTTTCACATTTTTAATCCCAAAGGGATTGCGCTAACAGTTTTTTATCTTGATATTGGTTTGTTTCTTTTCATCAAGAAATACAAAGAATTTTAATAATCTTTGAATTTTTTAATAAAACTAATATCCCTTTCAAAATAAAAGAGACCTTACGTTAGTGTTTTTTGAATAAATTTTGAACAGAAGAAGATAGATAGCTGTGGCTTTCACCATTCGAAAGAGAAATGTTGGGGCTATCGGTCAGCCTAATATTTTGATCGTCGAATAATTGATCAATCAGATGAACTTCTCATGTAGATTTCGCGAACGAGTTTTGGGATGCTTTTTTCGTAGTTGCAAGATGTTTTAAAAATACCATACAGTGCGAAATTTTATGCTTTTTTAAGCTGTGCAAGCCCGCCACTGAAAACATATTATGCTCAGAAGCTAAAATGGCTTCCCAGAGAACCAAATTTTCGAACTTTTGGTGTCTGTTGGCCACAAATAATCTCGGAATAGGGATAATTTACCGCAATGTGTCAAATGGTGATGTTTCCTTTCGATTTTCAAACACTTTACGCGCTATATATGAAAATTTCATGAATAACCGTTTAGTGGACTATAGCATTGGGGGGCGTTGTAGAAAAGATTCTAAAAAATTACGAGTGAATAGTGTTCAGAAATCGACAGATAAGATCATCATTGGACTCAGCGTGATTAAGTATCCTTATTCGGACATGTTTTGCGGCCAACCGACACCAAAAATCTGAAAATAGCGTTCTCTGTAAATCCACTTTAGCTTGCGAACGGAACATTCTTTTGATAACCGGCTTGCACCAGAGTTGCAACCGGTAACGGTAAACGTCGGTACAAGCGACTTTTTTCAGACCGGTCCGATCTAGATTGTTTAAAATCATGTTCGCTTTTTTCCCTTATTGTTTGCAAAAATAGATAATAGAAGTGTTTACTTTTCCATATCAAGCTAGTTTTTATGACATTAAGGCCGATTTCTAAGAGAAATTATGAGATATATTGTTTATATTAAATCAGTATTCATCAAAAATATATTTCTTGGTGATGGAGAAGTCTTAAATAATTGGTATAGTGATTCAGAGTGAGATATGACTGATATTAAATGAAAAAAAAATCAATGATGACTCATGGCGGTCTACCGGCCGCTCTGGCCCGGCCTAGAAAAAACCCTACCGGTTGTAACTCTGGCTTGCACAGTTCGAAAAAGCATAAAATTTTCCATCGCATGATATTTTTGAAATATTGTAACTACGAAAAAGGCATCCCAGCAATTTTAAAAAATATTAAATTTCATAAACTAAAATAAATCTGTAAAATGACATCTCATTTTCAGAATTTTGTTTGAGGTCATCGGTTCTCATGAAAAATTCAAATAGAAACTTGCAGTAAAGTTAGAAATTAAGCAATTTTCCGTTAAAGTGATATACAATGACATAGCAAATCCAGCTCGGTAAGCTGATCGGTATGTAAACTGAAGGTCTGCAGATCGATACTATATGTGCTCCTTTATTATCTACGCTATTTAGAGAATCCTGCAAAGATCTTGCAAAGAAATTCATAGCATCCTGAAGAAAACTTAGTTGAATTCTACGAAGATCCTGCCAAGATATTCGATAAAATCTTCGAGGAAAACTAGTAAAATCCTGAAAGATATGATGATCAGAAATCTTTTTCATCCAATTTTTAAGTATTGTGATCCTGACGGATCCTGGCAGTTAGTGGCTACACGCTTCTTCGGGATCAAGCCATTTCCTCACGGAAAAAACAGCGAATCCTTGCAGGATCCTGGCCATATCTGGCAAGAATCTGACGCTGAAGCATCAAACATTTTGCCTAGCTGGGGTGGGCAGGGGAGAAGCAACAAGAGTCTCGCTCATAAATTTATACTCACTATTTTCTTGAAAGATATATGTGAGTTCCCCAAAATAACTTAGGATTCAAAATAAATAAACAAAGAAATATTCGTAGAGAATTGTACATACATAGTTTTGATTCGACAGTGCGAATCGTCTTTTCCATGGATTTAACATATAAATGGCTCGGTCTTAGAGATTTAAGCCACGTTGCATGCGCTTTAGTAAAATAATCCAATGCTTGTTTATAATCTTCTTTAGAATAGTACATAACTCCGATATCTGCATAAATTTGCCCGAGTGTTAGACCATCGTCTTTTAGATCTCGATCATTCACTGCAAGTGCTTTTTGAAAGTACTCTAGTGCTGAATCGAATTCCTTTGTTTTTGCGTATAAATTAGCAATATTTCTATAAATTTTTGAAGTAAGATCATGAGTTAGTGTGACAATAGCAAGAGTGTCGAGTGCTTGTTTCTGATAGGAAATAGCTTGAGCATAATCCTGCTGCAAAAAATAGACCATACCAATTGACATCAAACACTTAGCAATATCACCTTCTGTCTTGTTCGGAATTTTCAGTTTAATTAATAAATCAAGCTGCTTACGATAATTATTTATTGCTTCTTCATAATTTTTTAATTCAGTGCTTACTGCGCCAAGTGAACTGTAACATCGCGCTGAATCAAGAAGGCTTATTGCTGGTGAAATTAAAATCATTTGAAAATGATTTTTCGCCTTTTCATATTCACAGTTCCAATACAAGAGATCTCCACGGCTGAAGATATTAATATGTTGCTTATCTGATTTTGTTGCTGCTGTTGCACTTTCACTGATTTTTTCGTCCGTCATTTTGAGTTCTATTTCTGTGGTACGTGGAATAAGAATTTCTTCAGAATTTCTTTGGTGTTGTTAACCAACAATAAATCATAAATAAAAAAAAGATAGAACATAATGTATAAACTCTTTCTTTTCTTTTCTTTTCCTCCTATCCAATAAATGATAGTACACGATGGTATAAAAAAAGGATGCAGTAGCAAGAAAAGGGAATGTAAGCAAAGAATGAAAAAACATCGAAAATATAGTCAGCTATTGAAAGAAGGAAGAATAGCAACCTTCAGATCAAATATCGTCCAATGTACTGCTTAGTTCTCCTACATGGACGGGAACAAAACCAAAAGAATAGAATATAACGAGACAGCAGTATTTTTTCTACAAGGAAAGAGAAAACTCTTGAGACACTTCATTTCTCTCTAAAAAAAGAAGTTCTATATCGAACTTAAAAAGGTTCAGTAAAGAGTACGAAATCAAAAAAGCATCTTCCGGTGGGCACACGAGAAGAACCTTTTTGATGGTGCCGCAAAAAAAAACCTAGAAAGGTTTCGTACCAATCTACGAAACCAAACAAAATTTCTCACGAAAGTAAAAATCCTTGAGGCTTAATGAAACTATCTTGGGTGGATGTGGGTGTGGGTGTGGATATACATGTTGCTAATAAAAATAGCAACACCCACACACCCTCGAAAATTCTTTTCCTCGCAGAAATCACTATGCAACCGAGTGGTATTTCAATTCATTCTACATTGAACAGTATAGGCGCTTTTTCATTGTTGTAGATTATTAATTGGAAATATTTACTTATAGCTAGCCTCCACATATGTTTCTTTCATTCAGATTGTCCAACTAAACAATTTGGCAAATAATTTCAACACGAAAACTACGATCATTTTTTTCTATTGCATGATTATTAAACCGAAGTATTAATATCGATATGGATGTCATATTTAGACTTTGGCTCGGTTCGGATTATTCAAGTCAATAATCTGGTTATGGTCTAGTGTTTTTAATAGTTGGCAAGTCTGGCTAATTCATTGAAATATTTTCTATTTGTGTTTTATGTAAAGTCGATGAAGTAAGGTTGTTCGTTTGGTATCCTCCTGTTACATTTGAACCCGTTCTGAACGATAATTCTAGGAGATTCGGCCTTAGTATGGGTGAATTTAAAATAATAGGAAGAGTTTCCGATGATACCCATGCAACTCTGACGTTTTGACTTTGCGTATCGAGTTCTGTAAAGCAGAACTGCCATTATAACGGCCTGTCTGGCCATCGGAAAATATGAAATTCAAGATGAGCTGATCTGTTTATATTATCTTGAAGTAAAGTGATAAATTAATTGAGAACAGCATTATTGATCCCGTTTATTTCTTTTCTGTGTCAGGAATATATTTGATAATATGAGTTTTTTGGAGTTTGATGATCGACGTAAATATTTCTAACGCAAGAAAAGGATAATTTGGGTCAATACTGCTGCTCTCAACCAAACTCCTATTCTACTTCAGTACAATGTAAAAGGCAAAACAGATTTGAATTTCATATTTTCCAGTGACTTAGTACGACGGCTTGATGACAGCTCTATTATTAAATTGGTATTGTGGAACTTAATCTGCGAAACCTAATTTTAAGTTTGCCTATTGGAATAAGTTTCATACTAAACTAGTTTCGTGCGATACTTAAAAAGGTTTAGAATTCGTTTCAAAATTCGGAACCTTTCTAAGTTCGGTACGGTACCTTTTTTGTTTTCAGTGTACTGAAAAAGTAATATGTACACATTGGCATTAGCGGCGTGTTTGTTCTTGGCCGAATAATTCATTTCTCCGCATGAAATTTACTTTGCTTTTTGAAAGAAGAGGAATGGTCTATTCATCTCTCCTTCAATAAACTTTTCATTTCTGTCAGAACTTCTTACAGTAAAAAATAATTTTATTCATTTTTGCGTACACTGTAGAATTATTATTTTTTTCTCTTTATGTAGTGAGTAGCTGCCACACTGAAAAATTAAAGGTGCTGTACGGAACCTTTACGGTTTGGTGGTACCTTATTAAACCTTAAGAGTTATGGTATGGACCTGCGAAACCTTTTGTAGTTTTAGTACTAGAGAAAGTTCGGTGCGACCGTTTTATAAGGTTCTGAAGTGACCGATGTTTCGTACCATACTTTTGTGAAAGTCAAAGCTTAGCCAACTTTCGTATGAAACCCTTGCACGTTTCGTAATATACCTCAAATAGGGGTGTGTGGGTGGACGTGGTTGTAGATGTGGTTATCACACCCACACCCACACCCTGAAGAACTTCTTACTTGTACGATCAACAAATAAAAATGTTATACAGTTATTGGAGGCAACAACGTATTTTTAAGTTAATTGAGTAAGAGAATAAGAAAAAAAAGAAAATGAGAGAAGAAAAGAGAAAAAAGAAAGAAAAAAAGTAGCTTGCATATTTGCTTGCAAAAAATTATTTGTGCCGAGAGGTGTCACATATCCGAAATTTCGGGCATGCTGGGGATGCCAAGGGAGACGCTGGCATACAACACTATAACTATCACATAATTCAAATACTATGCGTATGTAAAAGTATTTAAGCGCATTCTGCGTCTCACGTAGAGACACCGCATCTCGCACTTCTCCACAGAGAGATGTCGCATCTTTGGCATCTCCAGCATCTCCCGATGAAAAAATCTTTTTCGATTTATAGCCTTGACTAGGGGTGGCACTTTATTTTTACTTTACCGGTTAAAGTAAAGTTCGCTACTTTACTTTACCCGGTAAAGTAAAGTAAGTCAAATTTACCCGAAAAGTAAAGTAAAGTAAAGTAAAGTAAAGTAAAGTGAATTAAATAAAGTTGAGTTTGTTGCCCATTTTTTAGCCCAGTATCATGCACTAATAACGCTGCAGCATATGAAAGTATTTTTGGAACGATTTATTCATAAAAAAAGTGGAAAATAAAGTACAGTAATGATGAAAAGGTCACATTTTTCATAGATGAACACTTTTGTATGCTGCAGCGTTATCAGAGCTTGATGCTGGCCTAGAAAATGAACAATAAGCCTAACTTAATACAAGTCACTTTACTTTACTTTACTTTACTTTTCGGGTAAAGGTGACTTACTTTACTTTACTTTATCGGATAAAGTAAAGTTCACTACTTTACTTTACTTTACTTTTTCAAAGTTAAGTAAAGATAAAGTGCCACCCCTAGCCTAGACCCCACCTGGAGATGCGTCTCCATAACGAGATTCCGCGTCTCACACACAGACGCTGCATCTTCCGGCAACTACTGAGGAAAATCACTGTCCTGATTTGAAAGCTATGACCATTTCCCGTTCGGGCGTCACAATCGAGTGTGGAAACTGTGCATATGGTATTGTTGTACAACTCACTGCGGCGGTTGAATTAGAAATGAAGTTGATCACATGATGGAGCGAAGCGAGAGGGTGAGCGTCGAAACACAGGTAGGCACACTAAATCGTAGTCTTTGGGTGTGGGTGTGGGGTGTGGGTGTAGGTGTGTGAGTGTTGGTGTGTGCGTATACGAAATGAGTTGTGATCTGTACACCCACATCCTCAAGTTTTAAGGTAGTTAACAGAGGTGTTCTTCTTTTGCATATTATACTAAAATGGCCAAGTCACTCGCCTAGATACTTTCAGCTCCCATAGAGAATTATCTGGACGACCGAATGATATACCGATTTATTTGATTTCCGTGGATGTAAGCGAGTGAGGAGATGAAGAGAATGAGTATAGCAATTTTTGCTGCAGTAATCTGAATTACACCAACGGACTCTAAATATCTCATTCATTTTTTTACTGTAAACTATTATTTTAGTAGCTACTTAGTTAATAGTAATTATGTAACTACTGTAGTTACTAATTACTGTTAACTATGTAACTACAGTAGTTATCATTTACAAGTAACTACGTAACTATGATAGTTAATTTTATTAGTAAAAAGTAAGTACAATAGTTACTATTCATAGGTAACTATGTAACTACTGTCGTTGCTTTTACTAATAACTAAGTAACCATTGTAGTTACTTTACTTTAGTTACGTAAAGAAAAAGTAAAGAAAATGTGCCGCCCATACTCTGAGTTCCTTGGAATCCCTCATAACGTTGCTATGCTTTGGTTTATCATCACTTACTCTTGTTCATGCATTTTTCAGTTCCCAATTCTCAACGAATTCCCGGCTCCTGGGAACTTGGAGACTGCTGCACTCAAATGAAAGACCTACATGACAATATGACTTTGGATCATATTGAAATTGTGTGGAAGACATTTTTGTTTTGAATTCGAAACCGACAACAGTTCAAGAACGTATAGATGGCATGATGCTATTTCAATAGTATTAAAATAGTCTCAGATTCGTAAAAGGAAATGATTGATGGAGGGAACGATTCTTGATCGAATCGGTTGCACTTGATACTGTGAGCAGTTTGAGTTCATTAAATACATCAAAAGCCGAGCAATGAGGACGCTAGAAACGAAAATGAGAGCACGGAAAAACTCTTTCGAGAAATTTTAGGACTTTGATCTCTCTCATTGTACAGAAAATTCGGAGAGCACCCAAACTTCTAGTAGCCTTTCTTTGCATCGAATAAAATTTGGGATCTGATTTCGATTCGCCATTGTACTTTGTGTAATTGAGTATATTCGGAAACTCTTCGGTCTGCCTGGGAAAAATTTTGGAAGCTCAAAGGGCGATCTGATGACCCTCGTCAAATTCTGACTCAATGTTTTGACAATCTAAGTTTCCTAGAATGCTCTGGTGATTTCTGAAAATACGATCAGATTTCCAATATCAGGAAAAAATAGATTCTAGAAGATTCTCAGCGTAGTAACACCGTTCACACGCTTATTAGCTGTTTAACTTGCGCGACTCTCATTAATGAAAGCCTGACACATAGAAAGCTGGGTTAAATCAAATCTCTCCCTTTTAAATTACGATTTCAGTATCTCCTTTAGTAAAATGAGGAATTCTCTGATTTAAAAATGCATTGCTCTAAATGATGCATTAGTTAAATTTTTTACATTATTCGAAATAATGCATTGAAATGGATTGAAATTTTGGAAAAATTTCGATTATCAATGCAATAATGCATGACAATATATTGAAAATCAATGCATTATCAGTCATTACGACATTATTTCTAGATAATTCAGTGAAATGCATTGGAAGCGTTCGAAATTTTCGAAAGTTTGCGATGATAAATACAATTATGCATGAAAATGCCTTGAATTACATGAAAAATACCAAAAATATAGTATTCCCATTAATTATTTGATGTATTTTACAAAATAAAGGAAAATACTGGGTTACTTTTGCATTATTCATCTATTATCGGCTGCATGGGCAGTGGATTAGAATTACTGTTTCTCTGGAGTATTTCTTATTATGATCGATTCCTAATCGTTTCCAATCTGATTAATTACCTAATTTTTCCGTACGTGGGGAGAAAGGAAGAAACAATAGTAAGCTATGAATCGACTAGCAAAGTAAATAAGTAGGCATCTTTTTCCTCTGTGGTTGAGCACAGAGCCACAGACAGCGTGTTTTGTGTGTATCTCTGCATCAATATTATGTATAAGAAGCTGCGCAATAAAATGTAGTCATTTTACTATAATGGACTACCGCCAGAAACAATGTTTCTGTTTTTCAAACTTTAGAAATATAACAATGCTCAATTTCTGAATATTATCTTTTAAACCGATTTTTCAAGTGGAAATTGAATGATAATGTTTCCAGGACCGGTAAATGCAATTTGTGGACACTGTAGACAGCAGATATCGCGCGATCAGCCAAGCAGACTCTGCGATGTTTGTGATGCAGTATACCATAAGACTTGCTTACCTGCAAGTCTTAATATGGACCCTAATAGTGATGATCTTGTCCTAACCCATGGGAATGGTTCAACGCATATGAGTAAATCTAATTCAAAATGATTTTTATGATTCTTCACATCAGCTTTTTCTGTATTAGGATGGACTCCTGATCGCGACATCAAAATAGGAGAATCGCCAGTTGAAATATGGCCAGCTGAAATAGGCATAGATATTCTGGGCTATGATCCTGTGATTGGAACCTAATAGTTCATTTAAAACTAACTTAAATTAAGACGGTAATGTAACGGGAAAATATTTATTTATCAATATAGTGTTGATTCTTCTTTTCGAATAAATAAATATTTTTCAAATATATACCAACTTCGATCGTTCTGGCCACCGGATACTACAGGAGCCCGTAGGAAACACGCAGGAAAATCGACGTATCCTGTAAGAAAACACCGAAAAATCACCGGAACGTGGAAGCAGCATTTCAGCCGGAATTTTTTCCGATGATTTCCGGTCGGTTCCTACCCGATAAAGTACGAATTCGCTGGAATTCGCCGAAAAAAATCTGAAAATTTTCCGACCGAAAGACTGCTTCCACGTTTCGGCGATTTCCTGTGGGAACCGGTTCATGCTATTAGACCTGAGTTGTGATGCATATATCTATAGCGATCTCGATATAAATCCAGATAAAATATGGAAACTATATGCACAAATGCATCATTGTCGTCTTGATTTAGAGTTTTAATTTAAAATATAAATCTGATAAAATAGCGATGTTAAAAATAGACTAAACACATGCGACTTGAACTCAAGATCTCTCCACCCCTAAAAAATCAACCACAATACAGGAGCATTCGAATCCCATGACCATTGGAGAATATGTTTTGGTGTTATTGAAGAAGCTATGGTAAAATTTTCAGCTTTATATCATGACGTTTGACATAAAATTACCAAACAAATTTCAAAATAGCTGATTCAGGATCCTAAATTTGCCCACCACGACTCTTCAAAAAGATTTCTTTTTTTGGTTGAAAAAGCATGCCAAGATGCGGATGTGGATGTGGGTGTGAGCATGGGCGTGGATATGGGACTATACGCCATTCACACTCACACCCTTCCTTCGTAAGTTGGAAAAGTCATCGGCCTCTAAGGATTTAACCAAGAACGATTGATGGCGAAGCACTCAACCGCTATTACCAAACAATCCTATATAAACTAAACCAAAATTGATAAGCTGTACAGAACTCGGAGCTGTAGATTTCGCACAGGTAAGAATCTATGAAAAATACCTCTGGCTCACCGTTTATGTTAGCCTGAATGTGTATTCACTACCGTTCCCCTTTTAAAGAACTTCCTTATCTATTCTTTCGTGGACGATTCTGAAAAGGAAACTCTGTATATCAGAATCGCGGCAAAATCTTTTTAGGCATTGAAATCACAATCGTCAGGTTAAAAGAAGCCAAAGACTCAGGTTTTTCAGAATACCTAGATTCAAATAAGATATCATGACGTGGTTCCCAATCACAGATTTCAGCCTATATTGATTTTATGCTTCGGAATGTGTCTGCTTTTGACGAGAAGAGCACATGGAACAGTTTTGGTGGTGACTCTGAGTCAATCATGAAACAAAAAATGATGCAAAAAGTCATTGATAAACCATACTGGCGTACAGGCTGGTTCGGAAGAATCTGGGAACAGTTCTACCGATTGAAACTCTGCCCTAAGCGTAGCTACCCATAGGTAACAAGAACTGTTATTTGCTGTGTTCTAATCATTCGTATCGAAGACGTAGTGAACTTCAACACGGCTTCTACTTAATCGTAAAACTAGTCTTCATTGTTAACAGATATAATTCCTTCAATTGAAGCTACCGATGAAGCCGATAGCAATTGAAATCCTTCTTTTATTCTCAATTACGAGGCCAACCAAGTCTTCTATATGTGCAAGTAGCTCTTACTACGCTGACTTTCATTGCAATTTGCGTTCAGCAAGTTATTACTGCTCCAATGGTCTCACTTAGAAGATTTGCGCGCCAGGCACATACACGAATTCCATCGGTCAAATGCAATGTTCTCCATGTCCTGTTGGATCCTACGCTGATTTTGCTGGATCTACTGGGTGCACTATATGCCCTCCTAGATTCCAATGTTCCGATGCAACGAATGCTTCTCCCTGTCAACGAGGAACGTATTCATATTCCGGCTATGCAGAATGCTCCACATGTCCCACTGGATCCTACGCTGATTCAACAGGCTCGACTTACTCCAAGACATGTGATGACGGAGTTCTATGCTCAAATCAGATATCCCACGGCCTGTCCACGCGGTACGTTTTTGTCATCTGGGCAAGTAGTATGTTCTTCATGTCCGAATGCAACTTACGCTTACTATGAAGGTTCAACTAACTGCACATATTGTCCAATAGGGTATGAATGCTACAGTCGAATACAGCGTCAACCGTGTCCACCCGGTTCTTACTTCTATTCCACACGAGCAACACAATGTCGTAAATACTCACTAGGATCATATGCTTACCATGAAGGTTCAACGGAGTGTATCATATGTCCTTCAGGATACCAATGCTCAGATCGAATAAATGCTGTGAACTGTTCACCCGGCACCTTTTCGTCCTCCGGACAAGTTGTATGTTCTCCATGCTCGAGTGGATCATACCCTACTATGACGGGTCTGCTGGTTGTACATTATGTCCAGCCGGTTATCAGTGAGGAGACGCAACAACTCTTGTGCCGTGTCCAAACGGCACCTATTCTTTATCAGGGGATGGAGTGTGCTACTGGCATCTGAACAACTCGCACATTTACACCACTGTTATATCGACACTCAATTCGACTTTGTCTACGACAGCGACTAGTCTATCGATAACTATGACATCGCAGGCGACGGGAACCACAGCTCGATCACCAACAGTGACATCGCAGGTGGCGAGAGCCAGGACAGTTTAAGTGAAGAGAATGGAACTTCTGATGTAAGATGGATAGATTCTGTTTACTGATGATATCTTGGTTAGGATGATCAAATAGAAGAACACAAGGAAAGGAGAAATTAATGAACTAACTCGTTTCCATAAAAACTATGATGTATCCATGTATAGATGGATTTAGGTTGGAAAAAACCCTTTCATGACGTATTACAATATATTCGAAAAACGCAGTGTATGATTTAAGGAAAACCCCAGTAAGAAGATACTGGGAATTTTTGCGCGCAGAAATGTCTTTGAATTGTCTATATCAGAGCGGCTTTCCCTGGTTGCTTTATTATCTGGGGATGGGCGAACCGGTGGTCTTCGATTTCGAAGCCGATATCTTGTGTAGGGATGGGAAGTTACAGTCACCAACCTAGCCAAAGAAGCGCCTAATGAAAACGTGTTAAGCTCGGTAAAGATTTTAATGGAGAAAAATTGTAACAATCGCGCCTGTTTTGGATTTTTTCTTTCGTTGACGCTTCTTACTGCGTTTTATGGCATTAAAAAGCATTAATGTTATTTGACGAAAAAGAGTCTAAAAGAGATGAGCATTCCCTAATTTGTTTCCGTTCCACCTTACAGTGTATTTCAGATCGTCCCTTTCTCTGCCACTATATAATTAACCCTCGGATGGATTTTGCGGGTCCGACGAGACCCACAACGCTGTCTTTTTTTCTACGTGAAGATCTATTTTTTTCGGAACCATCTTTTCGGTAATCGTTAATCTTCTAATGATGCGCAAGAGTCATTTGAGATTTGGTACAAAAGTCTTACCTGTAAAACATTAAAGTGTGGGTCCCCATGGACCCCCTGAGACCTTTCGTGTTATACACATGATTTTTTTTCATATTATATCTGCCATCTATTGTCTCGAGATTTCATTGATCAAAGATTCATTAATTCAACACTGCCAATATAAATCAAGTACGTATGAATGATTGGGGGAAACAAAAAAAGTCGATGTTATATGTGTCCAATACATCATGGCCGTAAAATTCAACAAGTTTGCGACATATGCAAAAATTATGTTTGCAGATCCCATTCATCCATTTGCACCAGTGTTATTTGTCAATCATGCCAAGAAATATAATTCAACAGCATGGAGCTTGTTCCATATAAATTTGCAAGAAGAAGAAAAATAGTGTTAGCATGATACTGATGTTATTTTTTTATCGACTTTTAAAAATAAAAGATAAACAAGAAAGAGGCTTCTTTGACATTTAACACGAATAGCTATGTATATACGCATAAACCATTCGCCATGCATACTATAGTGAAATCAAAGAGGAACAAACTGATCTCCACCCACGGAAAAAAAATTTCGAAAAAATCGCGGTCAACCGCGGGATTTTATTGTTATCGCGGTTCTCCCATGATGCACCGCGGGCTCCTAGAAAAAACGCGGTTAAACGCGGTTTTGTACACCGCGTTTCAAAGAGAACGCGGTGCGTCTCCTTGGCACCGCGGTATTATGAACCGCGGTTAGTCGCGGTTTCATGAAAACGCGGTGATCATATGTGTCAACGGGGTAAAATAAGTCGCGGTTGGTCGCGGTTTTATAAAACGCGGTGATCATGTGTATCAACGCGATAGTATAACTCGCGTCTTCATGAAACGTGCTGAGAAGATTCTGCTTATGATATTCAACACATTCTGTGCTTGAACTTTTGAGTACCTCAGCGACCTTTGATTAGGTTCGTAGTATATCTTCATAAATCTGATATGAAGTCTTTTCCACACTGAAAAGATTTTTCAAGAAAAACCGCGGTATCGTAAACCGCGTTGAACTCGATTGTAACCGCGTCGGGGTATCATAAACTGGCAGTATTGTCTTTGCGCATTTCGTACGATGTTACTGCAACAATGTGTAAGAACAGAAAGGACATCGTGCGCACTTTACTATCTGTAATGTATTATCAAAATTTAATATGAAGTTCGTCGCTGCAACGCGACTTTGAAGTATTGGAACTTATAGTTCACTACACCACCCCACGAAGGGTAACTCACCTCAGCATACCGAAGTGATCAGGTCACCTGAGAAAATGCGATTATCACCGACTTTTCTGCGTTTTTTTAAAACCGCGTCTGATCGTGTCTTGGGGAATTCGCGTACTGACGCGCTTAAAAAAAACCGGGGTTGCCAGACCGTTTATTCAATTTAGAAAAAACGCGGTTTTCAATAACGCGGTTTACCGCGTTTTTTTAGTGAAATTTTTTCCGTGGGCAGGCATAGAAATCATTGGAAATCACTATTAATTACTGATGATTTTTACTAATTTCCTTTTTTTTCCAGAATGTGCAATGTTTTCAGTGACCAGTGTTGATTTCTATTGATTTCTCATCATTTTTCAACATTTCTAAACGTTTCCAACGATTTCTGCTGGTTTGCAATGATCATATAAAAACTGATTTTCAGTCATAGAAATCAAAGAACTCAAAGAAGTCAGTTTGTTCCCCCTCGCCCGAAACCTTATCAAAAGATTTTTGTGAAAATAACTATGAAAGGTAGTTTGTATTGTTGATATTGCAAATTCTTTCTAATATGATTACAAAAGGAAAAGACTGTTAGCGCAATACTCGTGAGATTAAAATGCGAAAAGCGATGAAACTGTTTTTCTGGAATCCATCTGGTAGGTCAGTGAAGCTTTTCTGTCACACTCTGTATTATGATATCTGGAATCTTCAGAGATCATAGCACTTTTAGATCGCTTTTCACAAAATAATGTCTTATCTTCAGAGTGAGGGTGCGAGTCTAAAAACTTTTAATTAAATGACTCTAGACTCAAAAAGTTTCGGACTGTTCATGGTCTACTCGTATTATCAGAGCATCTAATCATTTCTAAAATTTGTTACAACTATCTATCTGTTGAATTCACTCAAAGAACATATAAAAACTCAAATTATCTTCATTATTTTTGCTCCTTTCATACAACAATAATTTTTATCGATTGGGTTTTAAAGGTTTTTTGCAGAACATGTTGCTGATTATTCATTTTCATTGCTTTCATGCAAAGCCGATCCTACTTGTCTTCATTATACGAAATAAAGAAGTTGGACAAATATAATCAAAACACAGTATATGCGTATTATTTATTTTTTCGAAATGTTTGAATGTAACGACAACGAAAGAACATTTTAAAATTCCACGTGTTTTACCATTATAGTGTCGAGTGTCTACCGTTTCTTTTTCAATTTCATAGTTTTTCTCTTTTCTTTTGTATTTTGTATGTATGCTTTGTGTTGTCGGTTTTTCATCTGTTTTTTATGCGAAAATAATGTTTCAACAGGCACAACACTCATATCAATACTTTTTTCAAGAAAAGTAACGAATTTGACAATAAATCTCTTCGATAAAAAAACAGACTAAATAGAGACCAAGTATCACATTTCCTCTGAAGATATTATCACATAGAGTGTTTTAATTTTTCTCTGAAAGTGTCTCCTCATCTTGCAAATTTACAACAGAACGAAACAAAACTTTGTTCTCACACTAGATTTTGTGGGAAAAAAGGCATTGTTATGCATGCACACAGTTGTATATAACTAGCTCTTCTGGATGCATTTTTTCATTAACATCCGTATTTTTGGAAGGCATATTAGGTATAGTATAACCAAGTTTTTACTAGTGATCCTTTAGGTATGAAAGTATGTTAATTTTTTGCAGAAAATATCTTTGTATAAATAAAAATAGTATTTTTCTCAGTTAGCTGTTGTTTCACTATGATGTGCAACTGTTTGAGTGTAAACTTCAAACATTTATTTGACAGCTAGACGGTCGCTCCAGCACCGCTTTCCCGCTACGTATTCGCTGATATTCCATGCGCTACCGCTTCGCCATTCTGCTAGACAAGTCCCGAAAATTCGAGGTTTTTTTTTGAGTCGAAAGTGCCCACTTTAATGTGCATAGATTAATGTTTTGTAACAGGTGAAAATCTGTGCGTTTTGAGAGCAGAAATGTCAACGTTTTCGCTACTTTTTTGTTTGAGTATCTTCCCACCTATTCAGCCTACGAAGTATAACAGATCCACTCCGTCTCATCAAAAAAAAGTGCTTGGAGTCACGACTTTTAATCAAAATTTCAATCACCAGCTTGAAGGTTGTCCGAGTTCCCATTGATTAGGAGCGTGATTCCATATTCTTCGTCCTGGGCATATGTCACAATCACTATTTCATTTCCATGACACTAAATAAAATAATTATATGTATATAGACTATTTCAAAAACGGAAAACGTGATGAAAATCACTTATTTTCATAGTTTTAATTGGATTTTTGAAGAAGATCCGAATTGTCAGGGGATGCGAAAAATCGTCAAATCTCATAGTGATCCGTCAGCACTCCATTATCAAGAATCTGACATCGCTCGGTGACGAAACAGTATAACATTGCAGCTCGCAAATCTCTCATTAGAAAATCTATTGAGCATTTACTGTTTAGTGCAAGTGCCCAAGTAATCTCATCCAAAGAAAATTTCAGGCTGAAATGCGACTAGGCGCTAAACGCCGCATCGTCACTGTATCTTTCTTGCCTTTTGCATTGAGATGGAATATCTTTAGAAAACTTCGTGACACTCCCATTCGTTAAGACGCTTTCTGAATGTTTGAACTGAACATTTGAATACAATGACAATTAACTAATCACCAGTTTTAAGTCTCAAGTATTACACGCGTTTACTAACTTGCTGATAATTTCCCTCGTATCCGTACAGTAAGCCGTTAGTCACCAAAGGTCAACATGCTTAACCTACTATCGTCGGTCGGTTTATATAAGAAAAATATATGATGAATTTACTAAGTTTTGAAATTATTTTAGAGCATATATATTGAACGTTGAAAGCGCACATGAGCGTGTCAATGACAGAATTTTCTGATTTATCAGAAATACAATCTTGTTCAGATGAAAAATTTGAAAATGCCGTTGGTGGTCAAGACGATATTAGTGATAGTAGTGATGTAGTTAAATCACCTACTAATGAAATTATTCAAGTTCTGCAGCTAACTGATAATGAAAATAAAGATCAGATTGTTAACAGTTTATTAGAAAAAGGTCGGCAATCATTAATTGATTACCGAGCAGATATACCTACAGAAATATATGTAAAACAAATGGATAGTAAAGATAGTAAATTATTAGAGCTGTTGAAAACGTATTTTCAACGAATATGGGAAGTACAATATGGTTCTCCCAATGAATGGTTTTCCTTATTTTTAAAACAATATCAAAATGGAGAAAATCATGATTTATATGAACGTATTTTAACACGTACAGCGGAATATGGGAACAAATATATGAACAATTGTTCAATATTATCCATTGTTTTACAACTTTTATTTGAAGCTATCGATGATACCTGTTTACATGAAACAAATGTATTCAATGAGCTATGGTCAACAATAACAAATAATGGCTTAAAATCAGTAAAAAAATATGCCGATTATATTATTGAAGATGTGATGGATGAACAAGTTAATAAAAAACCTTCTGCATTATTTCAAGCATTACGTGAATATTATCGCGAACAGTTATTTTCATTACTGCAACAAAGTAATATCATATACAGACAAAATGTGTATGAATTAGCATTAGACAGTGTAGCAGAGCATGGTTGGCTAACAGGTGTAGAAGCAATTAAACGGAAAACAACAACATATGCTTATGAACAATTATTAAAAAATATTCATTCTTATCAGTTACACCAGCAAGCACAAGAAAGCAAAGAGAATAATACATCATTAATCAACATGGAATTGGAATTAATTTCAACCGAAACATCCCCGATACACACTGATGATTTTGAAACGCAAGGTAAAAAATACATGAGTTTTTTTTCTGCCTTCAGCCCTAAATTCCAAATGTTGTCTCAATGTGAATGTTTTGACTGAAAGATATTAAACTAGTAAACACAGGAAATATCTACGATAATAACAGATTTTTTTCAAAGTATAAAGTATTATCGCAGAGTGCTCACACGAGGATACAGTAGCCTCCAGACTATTTTATAAAGTCATATAGAACGAATGAAGATGAGGGTGAACCCAAAAGTGAAACGAGAGAGCACACGGAGCCAGTTGAGAGTGAACATTAAGTCAAGATCAAGAGGGCTTATGATTCTCTCCTGATGCATTCAGTGTGTTATATGGTATTAAAAGATAATTTCAGTTGTTTAATTAGATCTAATCAATCTAAAAAACGAAATAAATTACAGTAGATCTGCACAATTTCTTTAATGTGATAAAATATTGATTATTTCTTTCATATAAAGTCTATATAAATACTTTGTTTATCTGGATAAATTATTCTACGCCCTAAAATAATCACATCTTCCTGTACACAATAATTTATATCCTACAAAATTGTATACAACTTATTACATGAATTCAACTTTCACTAAGTCAATAATACTACTATGCTTTCTAACGAATGAAAACACCTTGTATTTTCCCTTTGACTGCAAAAACATTTCTTTAGACGGCAATACATCAAAGATCTCCGAAAGCAATGATGCATTGACGGAAAATCAAATCATCAGCCAAACAAGTGAATTTATTAATGATGAAACCAATGAAACAATCGTTCGACGGGCTGATATTACTACACAAATGAACTTTGAATATCAGCCAGTAACATGTGTTTATCGTGATAAAAACAACGAATTGAATATCATTCTAAAGTGTAAACGCATGCAATCAAATTTATATCAATTAGAAGATCTAGTACAAGCTGGCGAACTACAATATATTAACCAAACATTAGATGATATAACAAAAAATTTGATTGGCAGACTTAAGAATAGCAATTATTCATTTCCAAAATTTATCCAGGATTGTTTAACACCAATTATGTATTTATTAAAACGACAACAAAATTTAGATGATTTTTTTACTTCACTTACATTTAAATATCAAGGAATGAACCAACCACGAGAATATCAATTACAAGAACAAGCAAATTTAAGCTTAAGGATGTTATTACACGTTTTATTTATGAATTCTGATATATTTTTACGACGAATTATCATGTCATTATTAAGTAAACGAAATCCAGTTCCATTCGTTTCTTCAACTATTCAAGTAGGGAATCAAAATGAACAATATCAATTTATACCTGCTATTCTGCATGTATGGAATTATACAAGACCAACGATCTTATCATTTGGTGTTGGTCCATGTCAAGGAAAGTCAACACTGTTAAATCAACTATTTCAATCAACATTTGAACAAACAGTTGATAGTATTTATTTTCGACAAACAATTGATATTGATTTTGGTTATTCTTTTAATCCTGAACGCACGCTAAATATTGCTGATACACATGGTACAATTGACAAAGAATTATTGCATAAAATTCAGCCATTATTTAATGGATTTTTAATACAAATTGATAAAACATATTTAGATCGCCAACCGCAAATTCTAATTGAATATCTAAACATTTTACCGGTAAACAAATTTCAAATGATTATTATACGTGACACATTAAATAATAGCTTACAAGAATGTTCATTCGCAATTCAGAATTTATTAAAGCGATTTCGAGCAAATTTTTCACAAAAATTACATGTTTATCCATTGGTAAATATTTCCAATACAAATGATCGAATTGTTATTTTTGCTATTAAAGCAATGCGTGAAGAATTATTAACAAAGATTAAATTCGAAGTACAAAAAAATAATAACAAATATGATATATTATCAAATTTACAAAATTTAATGCCAACATATTATGTCGAATATTTGACACGATTGAATCACATAATTCAACCATTAAAAGAACTTTTATTGCAAAAAACTAATTTGCAAAGTGCCGGAAATATTCCACTTTATTTAAAATTCCAAGAATTATGTAAGCTACGACAAAAATTGAAAAAAATTGATTTTTATGGTTCAGAAAGTGAAAATATGTTCGAAATTTATGATAAACTAAATAAATTAGAAAACGAATTAGATCCCAATACAAAAACATTTTCACCAATTACAGGAGGACAAATCTTTGATTTGTTCATTGAAATATTAAAATCAGATAATATATTAATGAGCTTAGATCTATTATCAACAGAATTGAAGCATGAACTATTGACTTTAGGTAGTGATAAAATAGCTGGTGATTTGACAGTGGAAAATGCTTTTTTATCATTAGAAGTACTGTGGCGGAATGCGATTGTTTGTTATACTCATACAACAAATGATAGAAAAGACTTGATTGAAAGATCTTATTATGATTTTATTGCAGCAGGTTTTCCATTTGAAATAATCGATGGTGATAATTTACATTTTCAACATCAATTTTTAACAAAAATTTTGAGCCGATTCGTTTCCAAACGAATACTAGTTATCAGTATCATTGGCCCACAAAATAGTGGTAAAAGTACTTTATTAAATTATATGTTTGGAACACTGTTCGATGTGCGAGAAGGACGTTGCACAAGAGGAATTTATGGTTCATTAGTGAAATTAATTAGATCAAATCAAAATGCTGGTAACACTTCGGGTAGAACTCTTAGCGCTGATATTCCCGACATTGATTATATCATGTTAATCGATACTGAAGGTCTTTTATCCATAGAAAAGAGTGATAGTGAATACGATAGACGTTTAGTTTTATTCTGTTTAGCTGTTTCACATTTAGTTATTGTCAATATGATGGGAGATGTCAATGAAACATTAAAAGATATGTTAACATTATGTGCAGATTCATTAAAACAAATTGGCGTAAATAAAGTGAATCAACCCATCGTTCACTTTGTTTTAAATCAAAAAGCTGATCCGAACTTAAAAAATCATACAGAAGCTATCGACAAAATCATTCGAGATTTTAAAGAAAAAGAATTAGCTGAAGTTATTGATATCAGTTCAAAAACATTTCATACACTGCCATCAGCATTTAAAAAAGAACGTGTATCAAATGATGCTCAAAGTCCATGTTTTATACGTACCGAACCTGATTTTATTCAACGCACACAACAATTATGTGAAAAAATTATTGAATCAGCTAAATCATCTTACGGACGGTCTGGTCAGACAATATCTGATCCACCTCAATGGCTTAGAACAGCTGTCACTATATTTGATACTTTACAAAAGTTTCCAGATTTAACATATTTTAAAGATATTAATGAACGCCGACAAGATGATCGGATACGTCAACATATTGGTGAACTTATATCAAAAACATTACCAGCAGATTATCGAAAAAAAACAATAGCTGATTTGTGTGAACTAGCAGAAAATGAAATAAGAAAACAGTTGCAAGCGAAATTCGATGTACATCAAAATGATTTGGATAATGATTTAAAAATTATTTTTAAAGCTACCAGTGCACCTGAACGCATTAGAGACAGATCTATACAATTTTTGAGACGACAAGTTACAGAAATTAGCAATGCATGGTGTACAGCAGCGTTACAAGCACATGATCAAAAACAAATGGAAGTATTAGTTCGAGATGGTTCTGATGACCTCCGAAAGCTAATTGATGATTTAATTAAAAGTGGACAAACTATGACAAAAGAAAAAGCTACAGAAGAGTTTGAAATAATGTGGAGCAGAAAGTTAGAATCAATTAGCAGAAGTTTTGATCCACAAGAGCGATTGAAACAAGCAGTCAAATTTGTTTATGGCAATTATAACATTTTTGAAAAGCAATGCTTACCATCTCATGAACACATACTTCATCATTTACCATTTATTACTCAACTGAGTGTAAAATCAGATATGAAACTTATGATTGGTCCAATACAATCACATTTTGCTCAAAATGCATCTGGTCAAAAACATGGTGCTTTGGAGAACCGCTGGATACCATCTAGTACAAATATCACATATACATTAGCTACCATCGACAACTTTAGCTATCTAAATAAACAGATACTACAAGATCATCATATAGCTAGAATTCTGCATCACGGCATCTACTCCATGCAAGGAATGGATCAAAACGAACAAAACAGGCAATCGTATAAAAGACAAAGCACAACGTATCAAAACCAACAAACTAGAAAATCACATAATAGACAAAACTCGAAGCCCTCAAGATTCAATCTTCTGAAAGAAGGTGCTAATGCTGTTTCGCGTGCTTTTGGTCTCGGGCAATTAACAACAACTTCAACTGAACAAACAACAATATTTATCCATGTAGAACCATTAGAATATGATTATATAGAAGACATCCATAATACAATTTACAATGAAATGGAATATAAACCAAATGCAAGGTCAAATGTATTATGTTTACCAATATTATTTAATAAAATATTACAAGACACAATAGCAATAGTTGAGGGAAACGGTACAATTCGTCGACCAATTGAAGTCGATTTAACACAAAAAATTGTGGGTTTAATTAACACAATTATAAATGAAATAAATCTTGAATTACTTGTATTCAGATTGTCATTATCTAAACAGACAAAATCATACATCCATACTTCTATTATAATATTATTAACAATGTTTTATTATGATGAACAAAAACATCACTTTAATCAACAAATTTTGACATTAAATAAAGAAAAACCATCACTATTAACTTATTTTATTAGTATGGTTGTACCAGATGCCCAATGTGATAACGAAGGAGCTGAAATTTTTGCAAATAGGGTGAAAAATGCTGTACAATCGAGTTTAGTGCGTGATGCGCAAATTATAATAACGCGTATCATTGAAACACAACAACATTTAAATCGAAAACAAATTCAAATANAGATATATCATGAACACTAAGAGAGTACGAATCAAACAACAGGTGAGATGTAGGAAGAATAATAAGAGATACTGTAGATGGGGCGGCTCTACGACCTAACCGGAGAGCAGGTCGTAACAAAAGATCAGCATACAGCTAGTACTCTTCATCACGGCACCTATGACACGCAATCAATGGATTCAGATGAACAAAATAGGCATTCGCATAATAGACACAGCTCAATGGATTATGAGAAGCAAAGTAGGCATTCACATAATAGATATAGCCCAATGTATCCAGATAAACATAGTAGGCATTCACATAATAGACAAAGCCCGATGTATCCAGATGAACAAAATAGTCATTCGCATAAAAGGAAACGCTCAATGGATTATGACAAACATAGTAGGTATTCACATAATAGACAAAGCCCAGCGTATGAAGATGAACAAAATACGCATTCGCATAAAAGGAAACGCTCAGGGCATTCAGGAATTGAGATGCTGAAAAAAGGTGTTGTTGTTTTGAAGCGTGCTTTTGGTCTCGGTCAATCGGCACCAACTCCAACTGAACAAACAGCAGCAGTTATCAACGTAGAACCATTAAAATATGATTATATACATCAGGTCAATCTAACAATGTATAATGAAATGGAACATAGTCCAAATGAAAAATCAAATATATTATGTTTACCAATATTCTTTAATAAAATTTTACAAGAGACAAGAGCAATAGTTGAGGGGAACAGTACAATTCGTCGACCAGTTGAAGTAGATTTAACACAAAAAATTGTAGGTTTAATTAACACAATTATAAATGAAATAAATCTTGAATTACTTGTATTCAAATTGTCATTATCTAAGCAGACAAAATCATACATCCATACTTTCATTATAATATTATTAACAATGTTTTATTATGATGAACAAAAACATCACTTTAATCAACAAATTTTGACATTAAATAAAGAAAAGCCATCACTATTAACTTATTTCATTAGTATGGTTGTACCAGATGCACAATGTGATAACGAAGGAGCTGAAATTTTTGCAAATAGGGTGAAAAATGCTGTACAATCGAGTTTAGTGCGTGATGCGCAAATTATAATAACGCGTATCATTGAAACACAACAACATTTAAATCGAAAACAAATTCAAATAATTTGTGATGGGAAATTACATGCAGCAGCAAATGATGACGATTGGTTATTTCGTTATATTGATGCGCCAACGGATATCATCACAGAAGAATTCCAGATATTATGGAAAGAAGTTGAAAAAACAATTAATCAACAATTAGAACAAGAAAAAAATCAATGGAAAAATATTTTAATTGAGTTTTTTAATCGTATTGAATTTATGATGTCTTCTCTTGCAAATGAGGGTTCATCTGTACAATATATTGATGATATATTCTTAGCATCAGGTGGCATTGCTGCAGATAATTTAACAAATAAAGGTCAATGTATGGTTTTATTACTGTATGCTTATTTATCTGGTAACAGAATACAGCCAGGAACATCATATACTGTATTTAACGAGAATTATACATTGAAAGCAAAAGGACTAAGATTGTTTGAAAAATTACCAATACCAAGTAAACAATTAGCCGGTCTGATTAATGGAATGAAAGATATTGATAACTCTAATAGTAATCGAACGACAGTCGCTTCAATAAAAAATTTGCATGTCTTCCTTCAAAGTATTATAGATGCTAAAAAAACAATTGAAGATACGTACGATGAAACTCCAACTAGATTTGAAGCCTATGATAAAGATCAAATTTATAACAAATTATTGGATAAAGTACGTGGGTGTACCTCAAAATGCCCGTGTTGCCAACGACCCTGTGACGTGGATCATACTTTAATCAAATCTAATGCAGGTATTGTCGCGTGAAACTAGACTTCTTCCGAATAGAATCTGTTATAAATGTGATTATTCGTTAAATTTAATAATTTTTTGTTTATGAAAACTGCTGGCAAATGTGACCTCTCCTGGCCCTCAAAGAATTGGATTTTCTATGATAAATCTAAGTCAGAAACAGAGCCTAATGGTAATTTAAAGGCCAGTTTTGCGACAACTCTTAACTGAATCTAGAACCTTTATGCATTCCTTATGAGGAACTCGAAAAAAATTTGTCCACCCGTAGTAAGGAACGGGTATAAGTTACAACATCTTTGAAGAGCTGTCACATAATTAACTCTTAGCACATAAGACTGAAATATTTGGGGGCGATTCAAAAGGGTTTATGAATGATATATATCTTCCGCTCAATTTTATTATTGTTATGGTTTTAGGTGATGAAGACAACCGTCATTGTTGTCAAACTGGTCATCAATTACGAGCAATGGCTGGTATTAAATTTGAAGTTTCAAATGAAGCATCATTATTCCAGTGCGAACAGATGGCTGATGACAGGCCAATCGTTGTTCGAGGTACAAAGAAAAAATGGTCGGAATTCAAAAACGATTATCCTGATTGGGATTTCGGTAATTCAATCACACCAGATGAATTATTTAAATTGCGCGGTAAGTTTCTTAATGTTTGGAGTAGAATTGGTGAACTTCTGTGTGAAAAATACGATATGGAGTTTGTAACAGAAAATACAGCTCAAGCTACGGCAAAACCACTTCATTATATATTATTACTTGATGCATCTGGATCAATGGATGGCGAACCATGGAGGAATTTACTTGAAGGTGTTAGAGAATTCATTAAGATTCGTGTTGATTCCGGTTCATCAGATCGTATAACGATTATCGTATTTGACAGCCATGCAAAGTATGCTTACTTTAATGAAGACATGAAATCAATCGATATAACCAAAATAGAGTTTACAAGTGGTGGAACAAATTTCGGCAATGCATTCGATCTGGTAATTAAAACCATTCGGAGTACACAACCACAGAGTTCAGCATATAATCATTTTGGCGATTCAGATTATGTCATTATTTTTATGAGCGACGGACAGGGAGAATTTCCTGCTAGCCAAATGGAAACATTATCAGCCATGAAAACTATGATTAATCAATTTTGGACTGTTGCTCTCGGTAATACAAGTATGAGTGTTTTACAGCAGATAAATCAAAAAATGGATGGAACATTCAAAGAGTTAAAAGACTCTACTGATTTTGTTTGTGTTTATGCTGAGATTGCTCGGAATTAAAAAGACATATTCTTCGTATTATTATTCAAGCACCTTTATTTATCTTTCTAACTTTTCTCAAACATTTATATGCTTTTTTCTTTTAAAATAAAATCGCGTTTCTATTATAGCTTTACCTCATGTGGAATAGCTCTTGTTGATTGTCGGTTAATCGGCTAGTAGCCGATTCGGAGTAGATGAGGAACTCATATGCATTTACCAAGGGTTACATGAATTTCGGCCCACGGAATTTTCGGGCCGGACTTTCGGCCCACGGAATTTTCGGGCCGGACTTTCGGCCCGGCCCAAAAATTCTCCGGACTTTCGGACCAATTTTATACAAATTCATTAAACTCTGAAAAAAAAACGTAATTTTTTGAAAATTGGTTTCTAGAATTTTTTAGTGCCGAGCGAAGCGTCGTAGTGCTGAGCGAAGTGACGTGGTGCCGAGCGAAGCGTCGTAGTGCTGAGCGAAGCGTCGTAGTGCTGAGCGAAGCGTCGTAGTGCTGTGCGAAGGAACGTATATTAATTGAAGAAGAGATGAACTTGGTTGTAGAATATATAGTGCCAAACTCATGTATTATTTTTTCCCTGCTGACATAGAAAGGTAACCATACGCATAAAGTTTACTCAGGAAAATGTTATTGAACTGCAGTATAGAAATAACCGGTCTAGAGCACTACGACGCTTCGCTCGGCACCACGTCACTTTGCTCAGCACTATGACGTTTCGCTCGGCACTACGTCGCTTCGCTCGGCACTACGTCGCTTCGCTCGGCACTACGTCGCTTCGCTCGACACTACGACGCTTCGCTCGGCACTAAAAAATCTAGAAACCAAGTTTCAAAAAATTACGTTTTTTTTCAGGGTTAAATGAATTTGTATAAAATTGGTCCGAAAGTCCGGAGAATTTTCTGGCCGGGCCGAAATTCCTTTCTGACTTTCGGACCGGCCCGAAAAATCTCCGGAATTTCGGACCGGGCCGAAAGTCCGGCCCGAAAATTCCGTGGGCCGAAATTCCGGTCTCCCCTATCAGCGGCATCATTTATCATCGAAACATCAATTAATTTAAGGAGAGCAGAGCTGATTTGAATCAGCTAAAAGACAAAACTGACTCAATTAAATGATCGTAACTCACAAAATCATAAATCAATTATTTAATTTTTGAGTAATATTCAGTTGCTAATTTCTTAAAAATTGATTCCACCCATTCATTGTTCTATTGGTGCTGAAGCAGTTTATTATTGTTATGATTAAGGCATGATTTAGTTGGAAACTGAACAGATATTTGCTTTATTATGGCCTAGGAGAGTCTAAGAGTTTCAAAGAAATAGGATCTATCGTTAAGCATGTTTCAGTTAGAATCCAATGTTTATCTTTCTGACTTTACACGAAGTAATTCATGAATAAATCATAAACAAAACATCTTAATCGTTGTTGCTATGGTTTGACCGACGCGGGCTTTTAATACGAGTATTGGCTGTTGGTAATTGTTTCGGTTGAATTTCATTGGATGTATTAGTTCCTGATAACAGTATTAAAATAAAAATGCATTAAAAAGATAGAAAAAAAAACTCAATTCATCAGTCAATAAATTATGCAGGAATTACTACACATCTACGTTCTCGCTCTCACCTTCACTTTCACTCTTACTCACACACATAGATTACATCTACTGATGGATCGTATGGAATTTTTCTCAAAGTGTTTACGAACTTATTGAAAAGTTTCCATAAATCCTGAAAAATAAGTCAATTTTGCTTGAGCCATATGAAAAATGACTGTCGTCTGCTTCTATTTCTTTTGACCATATTTTGTAAGCAATTCATTCATGTGATCGACAGCTTTGAGAATATTAATTGTGAGTCTCACACTTTATATTATTTACAATAAAACTGGACGACATATCATGAGATCTAATGAGCTACTCCGAGCATGGCTTTATTACAATGGTTTCTAAGCGATTTGGCTACTTCAACTACATCAGCCCAGTTCGTCTAATTGATAGCATTTGAGATTCTTATCTTATACTTTAAAATCGATTCGGAATCCAGAAAATTTTCTAGTATGATTTAAAGCGTTTTAATGAGCTATTTTTCTCTTGCTGATCAGTTAATACTTGAAGCTTACCCGATCCGTTTTCCGACGTTGGAGAGTCCAGATTGCTCATTTTCGCATGCTCCATGGCTGCCATGATCCTATTCAGTGACTTTTTCATCTATACCAATGATTCAACACATCAATGTTTCATGAAAAAGACAGTGAAAACTTACTCCTTCCATTTCCGTCATTATGCTGTCAAAGCGACGACCTCGACTTTAATGCAAAATTTGTTTCAATCAGCAAAACAGATGTCTGAAAACTCACCCAATGTCGTTAGTCATTACATTCGCGACTGTGTCTGCTTGCACATCGAGCAATTCTCGAATGTAATCATTCGTTGAATATCGTTCGAAGTCCGACCATTCACGGTCAATATCATCATTCAATGGAATCATTTCTGAAAAATATATAGTTAGACAAATATTTGAAACTTTTATAACAATATGCCGTTATCTGATTCTTTGATTTCATCGGTCAACATAAAAATAAAAATGCTCACCAAAAAAACGAGATGAGTCGTCATAATTTTCTTCATTAGTACAACCGTTTCTGCAGCACATTAGCCAACACCATCGGCAGAGCTGTGCGAACGAGATGATAATTGTAAACGGAGGAAATAATGCTGGTCGAAAGTAATAATTTCGAATGATGTCACAATAGCTATAGGCCCAAATATAATGCGCTTGCGTTTGGATATCATTTATTGTGAAACTAAACCAAACTTAGTACTCATGGTTGTCTTAGGTTAAGTTTTTCCTTTTTCCTTACCTAAACAAGGCAACTAGTAAGTTAAGCAATAGTATATTAACAAAAAGCATGTGAAAAGCGAGCATGACTTGAGTGGCAATAGTAGTGTTGTCATCTGGTGTATCTGAGGAAAGAAATAGAAGAATACACACAGATGAATATTTACTGTTTTTGTTTAGGCGATATTTTTACCATCCAACTGTGCAAGCTCATCATCGAATTTGCCAAGGACAAAATAATAAACTGGATAGACCACATTACGAAAAAACTGTCGCCCATCAAAATCGATGGTTCGATAAGCTATCATAGATCTTGATGTAATTCCATAGCCGAAAATAAAAACGACAATGATGAATATGAATAACAAGAGATCGTTGGTCTGTAAACGGAACGGTTTAATACTTAAATAATACTCGAGTAACATATTTACCATTTTTCGAATCATCACAAGTTTGGGACCAAGCTGTGGAGCAATTCCGATGAACAAAACAGAGCGAATAAACCATAATTCTAAGTCACAAGCCATCACTATTCTATAAAAATAGACTGGTTTACGTGAAGTGTTAAAACAATCATGAAGTATACCTGGCCCATGCAAAACCATTGGCATCCGTCCGTGTAAAACGAAGAACAAGTCCAATATAGAAGAGAAGATATGTTGGTAGAACCAGAAACAAATTGGACATTCGATTACCTAAGTCAAAATAGGCATATATCTTGCCCATCAGCGATTTATTAGCTTGAAAGTAAATCTACACAACAAAAGGCATAAATATTTTATAGTTGTACTGGAATGTGAAACACTAACTTGCCGAAATTCTTCTACGAGCATGCTAGTCACGGTAATAATAGTTAATATTTCAGTCCAATGAATGCTGGGAATGTCGTCTGAAGGTGGATCAAATGCGAAGAGCATGTAATAACTAAAGAAGAGCAAGAAGAGAGCATAGCCGAACTACAAAGATCCATATACGAATATGTCAAAAATCAAATGAAGCCACCTTTGGCTTACACAAGTATAATAATATTTGACTATTGGTCGATCGTGGAAATGGAGAAAATGTTGAAATACCGTTGCGTTGTTGTCATAATCATCCGTGTAATCGATGCCATTTTTTTTTAATCTAAATTACTTTTTGTTACATTTTGATAATATTATAAATACGTACCGTTGTTGCAGATGCATCGATGATGTCGTCTATGAATGATTAACAACAAAACACAAATACTATATATTGCTAGTGCAACGCTAGCAATGCAAGCATCTGTCGCTTACATGAACTGCTGGTGTGATCCTTGAAGAATTTGAAATGTATTTCTCGTAGTTAGATATGAAAAACTGCGAGATTCCCAATGTAAGCATATTGACAATAAGAACGGTTCTCTCTCTCGCAGGATCAACCTTATCAAACCATATATTCTTTAGCAGAGCTTGACAAGCATCTTCATATAAAAATTTCTTATTATCTGCAGCAATCGCCATTTGAAGACAAGTCGTATCCCCATAGAGCTTTACACGTCGCATAATCAATTCGCATGCTTTATGTTTATCATACAGGTAAGAACAACGTACGAACTCGATGGCGTAAGTTTCGAACTCATCCGCTTTTGAAAAAAGTGTTTTTTTTGCAGCCTGATCAGGCGCATAGTCTGCTAATTTTTTGAGAATTTTCGAGGCGATCAACGCTGAACAAATACGAGTATTCATTTGAGTAAGAAAAATTTTGGCCATATCAAGTCGATATGTTAGTATACACCAAAGAAAGAGATCACGATAAATATGTTCAGCATCTATCTTCTCTTCCTTACTGTTGTTTTCTGGATGTACTTTCCTCAATACACACTTTGATGGATTCTTATAAAGTGGATCCATGAAATCACCAACCAGCTTTTCAATAATAATAGATAAATCTTCCTCTTCGAAATTAAGTTTGGAATTAATTTGATCTAGAAAGCACAGTGGATCCCGCTATATAAGAAACAAATGTCCTATAATGTGAATATTCAGTACAAAAACATATTCGTCTTACATTATTACGAATTTTTTCCGAGTATAAATCTTTTAAATAATGATGTCGACCAGACCAAATATTTTTATTGAAGAATTCTGCTGTTGAAGTGTTAGCAGCTCCTTTCAATGAATTTTCGGCAAAACCAAACAAATGAGTAATATCAACGTCTAATTTCACGAAATTGCTGACGAATACGAGTAAATTTTTGTGAAGTGCATCGATCAGGTACTCTCGATTTTGCTTAACCTATAGAACGAAAAATTATTTATAGAAATGTCAATATGAAATAATAGACAGGCTACTTTAGTAGTATCATTCCAGATCTTGCTAGCAGTCAGTAACTGGTTTTCATCCACATTGGTAATACTCCAGCCAAGTGCTAGATGTGCTTGATCATCTTTAATCTGATAATGCTTGCTTTTAATCAGTGACAGATTGTCTCTTGCTAATAATGAAAAGTGCAGCTGAAAGTTCTATATGAAATTCATATATGCTACTGCTGAATGAGAAGATATTTTTAATTTTAGACAGTTTTACTCACAATAATTTTTTTATATACCTCTATGGTACAAGAAAAAGAATGATTATAAGACTCGGCTACTTGTGTAGCCGTAAGAAAATGCAACGTCTTATTTTATAGGATCTCCTGTAAACTCATTTATTGCGGTTACCAAAGAAGACAATAAGATACACAAAGTCGCTATCAAATGCATAATATATAGTTCCCTATGAAGCTTAACAAAATACGATTATTTATTTAGGCTTACCTTTAATGTAAGCATGGTAAATTGTTTCTCGCACCGAACTCGATGAATTGATGTTGAAAACATAAACATTACCTCGAAAAGACGATGTTATACACCGAACAAGTGAGAATAAGTATTCCCCAAAAGTTCTTTCTTCAGCCAGGCTCAATAATTCTCCCATAGGAAATCTCTTGCCTTTGTCTTCATACTCTTGCTCTCGGATGATGTTGTAAAGCTTTCGCACGTCATCGACAAAACTTTTACGATGTTTGCCAAGAGGGCGCAAAGCTTCTCTCAAACTGCGAATATAAGAGAATATTTGTCATCAAAATTGTATTAGTTCAGCAAACTTACGTGTTTTTGACAAAGGAAGACTTATCTTTATCTTTCTCATCATCTGGAGGAAATGTCTCATCGAGCATTGCTATATCTATACCATCTTCATCATTGCTAATTGTTTGCTTTCGGTTGTTTGTTGGCGTTGGCTTAGATATATCTTCAATGAAAATACGTTACGAGCATTTTAAAAATTTTCAATTTTTGTGAACAACTATTGCTTTCAAAATCTATACATTGCTCATGCATTCTACACACAACGTTTCTTGTACAATCTGATGAGGGATCATAACATGATTTTCAGCGTCAGCCGTTGTATTGCGATTCTCTAGAGATATTTTTTATTTTATTTTGTACGAATTTCTCACTACTCTGGCCCATTTTACATATTCAAAAGCTTGAGATGCGTGATAGCGATCGTGAAGATGTGCGCAGTGAGAGAAGTTAGAGAAAGACGAAACGTCAAAGGAAAGAACCACGGTCATCATGTGACACTCATTCTCTTATCCTTTTAGATGTACGCGTACTTTGTCAGATATTTTGAAAACATTGACCGTTCAATTGTAACGGAATATTTTCAAAACCTGACTTTTTCAAGTTATACTTGTAAATGATACGTAGATTTCAGTATCACTCAATAATGTTTGGTCAGATTTAGAACAAAACTTGGGTCAAGCGTACACCTATGTTTGTTAACGTTACGATTGAAATAAATCGTGAACAAAACAGTTGATTTACAGAGGATGGCGAAATTATAGAACCCCCTTGCAGATGCAGACAAAAGTGTTTATTTTATTTCTATGATAAACAATATTGATTTGCTAATGATATGTGTACATGGGAGCATCCACGCACTACCTGGTCCNATATAGAAGAGAAGATATGTTGGTAGAACCAGAAACAAATTGGACATTCGATTACCTAAGTCAATGCTTCGTGTATTTGATTAATTTTTCCGAGAAGCTGTGATTCGTACCAGTTTTTGTAGGCTTTTCATACAGTTTGATCTGCTCTTTCCAACGATACTATTTGATTGACTTTATAAATTAAAATTATACTTGTAATCGGAAATTTTTCGGATCTCACTATAAAAAATTTTAAAAATCCTCTAGACAAACAAAAGAATTTACTAGTGTTATGGAAAAAAATATTTTCAACTTTGGTTCTAATAAAAATATTTTGACAAATCTGATATATCGCCTTAGATTGGAACCGATTTAGGCCATAGAAAAATGTATTTGTGATTGAATTTCACTCAAAAGCGGTGAAAACTCAGAGAATGCCTTATATCTTGAGGTTTTGAAAGAAAATAACTTCAATTATACCTCAAATAGAGTGAAACGGTCAAAAAGAAGTAAGCATCACAAGAAAATACTAAAAGTGAAGATTCAGTACACTGTAAAAGTGGATAAAGCCGCTTTTTCGTAAGGGGGCTCTATAATTATGCTACAGCCATTTTTCAGTTTCCTCAAGCTATTTCTTCCAATAACAAGACACGAAAGGAAGAGATGGCGGGACCAGGTAGTGCGTGGATGCTCCCATGTACACATATCATTAGCAAATCAATATTGTTTATCATAGAAATAAAATAAATACTTTTGTCTGCATCTGCAAGGGGGTTCTATAATTTCGCCATCCTCTGTAGTAGAGGTAGTCGTGTAAATCTTTAAAGCATCAAGAAATATTCCCTGAAAGTTTCAGATATATCAGTTATTTTGGAACTAAAAAGATACTTTTGATAAGTGGCACTACACTATCAAACCATAGCCTCAGAAACATCGCTTACTTTCTGTTAACTTAAGATATTTGCAAAACACATTAGCCAATTGTCCACTTTCCTGGATTATTCAAAGATGTGTCATTGTTTGAAATTTTCTAATTAAATATGACTTACATCAACAACAACAACAGGAATTTGTTTCTCTAAATCAATACATATTGACTCAAGTGCATGTAGAGTACCGCCAACGAGAACAGTAATTAATGGAACTAAATTAAGAAAACATGATTGTATTCGAAAAGTTGATGAAGTTTATACTCAGTAAAATGCGTACTCCTTCGTCTTGCACCACGTGATATTTGGCGAGCGAGCTTTGAGGCAAATTCGCCGGTATCCAGCGAATCACAAGTACCGTCATCGAAAAAAATGTAGTTTGTGTGGTGCGATTCTAGATTGTATCGCCCATATCCTTTATATATTATGGGCTGCTTGTTCCAACTCCTAAGAGAAAATTGTCGAGTACTGATATCATAGAGTCAATTGATAAGCAAAATTAAGGCTGTCAGCAATCAGTTATAGTAGAGTTTTATACGAACGAACGATATATCACAAACCTTGGCCAGATTTTGTGACAATCGTGGATGTTACCCCATTTACCAACTGCGATTGCGCTAAAATTTATTTCAGGATTTTTGATCCTACTCTTATAAACTACTTCACCAATCAATTCTGAAATGCTCTCTTCTTTGTAACCACTTGTGATAATCCATGCATCTAGAGATCAACGGTGTTGTTCTTTCAGTTTGAATTACTAATTGTACTTGCCTGATGCAACAGCAGCATCGGAGATGCTTTGCAAAAGTTCTTTCTCTAATTTGACGCTTGGTGTTGAATCGGCATCGCCTATCATTCGCATAATATGATGAGGCACTGCTATAGACCACACTCCTAATAGCACTAAACAGAGCTTCTCGAGATCTGTCTCAATGTCACACCGCAGATACTACGACAAAATAATAAAATTATTTTGTTCTATTAAATCACTGCATTACGCACAGGACTATTTGATGGAGGCAGGATCCCATAATAGTTGGTAATGTCTTGCGTAGTGTGCTTTTTCCAGTTCCATATTTCTTTCGTCTGAGATTTAACACGTTCACAGTGATCATAGTTACAGACGCAACATTCAGGGTTTGTTCTAAGTCATTGAATATTATTTCATTATTCGAATTTTTAAATAATTAGATTCGCTTACTCTTTAGAAATAAACGTCGTACATTTTCGTTGCTGAATTTTTAATCGAGTAATGGCGCCGCCCCAAGCAAGCTGTCAATCGCCAAAATAAACAAATACAGAATGAGAAAGGCAAAATAACTGTAGAGAACATACGTCATAACGTGGCGAGATCATCTCAATTAATTGGTTCATCTTCCCAAATCAAATAAATTTCTTCTACAAAAAATAACAGTAAGATTACTACACAGTATATAAAAATCATTCAGACATTCCGTGATACATCTGTATTCCAAAGCGAATTTCATTTTGAAGAAAACGCTATTCTCAATTCTTACTATATCTTTCGATAAATCGAAATCTTTAGTGTACTATACAAAAACAAATGTTTTGGTTACAAGTACTGTGATAGATTTTTGAGGATTCAACAGTGATTCACTCAATTTTCTATTCAAAAACTTATTCGCACGCTTGAAGTTGTCTTTTCATTGTAATGTTACTCAGCATGGAATGATTTTGAATCATGTCTCCTTTGAAAGAGAAAACAATTCTGTATACACAGGTGGATATATTTTAGAATCCAAAATATTATTGTTGAACCCAAGAAACCTTCAAATACCCAAAGCCCTATACACTGTCCAACAAACCTTATTTTTCAGATGAGATAATATAAAAGCTCAATTTACCACATACCTTTCAATAGAAAAGACAAAAGTGAGTGAAAAAAGTGTTCTCTATTTTGAATCATGATAAAAATGCACATTATTTGCTACTTATCATGCTTTTTGTGCCAATAAGGTATGGACATCCTTTATTGTTCACATATTTGGTGTCCATTTTTGTTAATTACCCTTTGGGACTGTCGTGTAGACAGGACTATTACTTTCTCATCAGTGTTATAGAATGTGTTATTCTCAATGGACGTTGTATAACCTACTACTATCATTAATGTATCTGATCTGCTTCTAAATATTATCCGTATGTCATTGCGCAATGTGGTTACGTTTCTGAACGTAATTAATGTAAGGTGGAAATGTCTATCCTACCTTTTTCTATTCTTTCTTTCTTCTCTTTCTCTCTCTCTCTCGTGTGCACGTATATAAAGCGAGTACATTGTATTATACATAAGAACTGGAATGTAATCAGAACTGGGACAGTACTAGAACATTGAAGAATGGAGTAGTGTAACTAACATCTTATACACCGAGGATAGCGGTAACGCTACTCTTCCAGTTTCTCTTTGTGATCACAAATAAAAAGAATAAAAGCTGCAGCAGTAACGAATATAAACTATCCATTTATCATCAAACAAAATTCGTTACACTTTTCCTACACTGTTCTTTTATTAATTTTATATGGATCGAAATTATGTTCAAAACTATTTGTAAAGAAGTAGTCTTACGGCGAATAAGCTTTTTGCGGAATAGTGTGCTATAATGGTCGATTACTACTTTTCATAGATAAGATAACACATTATCTTTTTCGGTAGCTTTAAGCGTACGCACAAAAAGCAAAGAAGACATTATGTTTGCACGTTTATATACTTGAAATACACGGCAAGAGAACGAAAAAAATGCTCGTCTTTCGGTTTAAAATGTAGTGAAGAACGACAGTCTTATCTTATCTACCAAAATATAGTTATTCACTATTGCAGCACATTATTTCAGGGAGAGTTTTATTATATGTAAGACCGCTTCTTTTCAAATAGTGTTAAACATGATTTAGATCCATCTAAAATTAATGAGAGAGTAGTGTAGAAGAAAAATTGCTAAAGGATAGAAAAGGCTTATATTTAACTATACAATACAGAGTATTGATCCCTATCACTTTTGATAAACAAAGCGAGCATAAAAGATACGCTTTAACCGTGAATCGAACCTATACCACATAGCGCGTTATCCGAACATGAAGTCGACCCAAGGGGGTAAGTGCGGGACAGGTGCTGAACAGATGCTCCGGTGCTGAACCGGTGCTGAGATGCCAGTTGATTTTTTTAGGATACCGCATAGACTAAATCACTACATTGTGATTGATTAAGAGCGTTCTCTATCAGATTCATTATTGTACTTCAATACTAGCGAATTCGTTAAGTATCCAATCAGAAATTTACTCATTTTACAAAACTGTCTAATTGTAACTCAATTTTCTTACTTAGAAGAAACTCATTTTTGTGCTGCTTTTCTGATATAAAAAAGAGAAGAACTCCCGTTAAATATTTTTCAGTTACTTTAAGAATTCTTATTTGTTCCATGGGATAAAATGCTTTTTTCATATTGTTTAAAGGTGGCATGTTGTCAGTAATATTGCAGTACTAGCAGGAGTACCCAGCGTTGCCTGGAAAAGTTCACATTTAATATGTGCAAACAAAACCCCATTGTGTTGGAGAAGATCTAAAATGCCTAATTCGTAGAAATAGATATACACAAATATTATTTTTGCCCGTGCCGATTTTGATCCCGAGTCTCGGACATATTCTAAGTCTCGATCCCATCTGATCTCGCCCGCAACGAATATAGAGTAATGATATTGAAAGACAGCTTCGGTGTGAGGAATTTTTCGTTGTTATACGTGTAGATCAAGAGGACCTTGGTAGTACATGTAAATTTTATGAACTTTCTATATTTCCAAGTACATCTCGGAGCACATACTTATGTCAATCGGTTCCGATCCGGACTGACTCCCATCTAACTTGGTCACGGTTTCAGTCCCGATTTCGTAGCTGTTTGATTCTATATTTAGAGGAAACCCATTTGAGAATTCATTTTTCGTACAGCCATGCAAGAAAAATTCGCTTCTATCAAAACTCAACAAAACCACACATCTACTTGCTCTAGAACTTCAGGTTTAGAATATCTATTGGTTATCAGAGTTATGACAGTATATCGTATTTTGTGCTGCTGAGAACACACTGAAATTTGATTGGTTGCAAAGAAAGACAGACAAAAAACTCTTTGAACAAAAGGTCTTCTAAGAACTTAATCAGTCGATATCTATGAAGAACAAAGCCTTGAGCCTGACAGGCCACTTATTCGAAATTCCCACTGCAGATGATTTCCAAAGAATCAGTTTCTCCAAAACTCTATGTATATTTGACATGGTCCACCTAATTAAACAACGGATCGTCTAGTAAGGTATTACGCTCGATAGATTTCCGATTCACAATGCCCATCTTACGATCATTCAGTGACTCGTTTACTCAAAAACTCCATGTCTGTTGATTTTGGACTAATCATGGAGTTATCGAAGTAATTGGGCCTCAGATTCGACCTCATCGCCCTCGAAAACCTCTGGTGCCATGTTTTCTGTGCGCTCACGAAGCGCTGCTCAATAGTTCTTTTATACTACCGAATGCTGAAATCTGATTGGTCAGTCACATATGCATGCTTTTTGCGGGTGAAGGAACGACTCTTTTTGGAAAAAAAGTAGCTGTTGAGCCTTTTCTGGATGAGAGAAGGATTCCTGGAACGTTTGGTTGCATTTGCTCGTACGGTGTCCAAATGCAGAATGAACATACAGACAAGCATTCGTCTTTACATAAATGGATGAATCCGTGGGGTTTATACCACTTTTGTGGAAAAGCTTTCTTTTAATTTTAATAGTCTAATTAGGCCGTATCGTCGTCGAAAACGGCCTAAGGTAACAGTTAAGAGCTTTTGGAACAGATAAAATCTGGAGAAATATATTGTTTTTTTAGGAACATCTCACACAAAGGGAATGTCATAATAATTGCTAATAAATTACTAATGATATTTTTCATACCTTTTCTTTACAGGTCGTTCAGTTTATTTTGAAATGATTTTGATCAATTTTTTCTTCGTGAAGGACTCATCGAGTTTGGATGATTCTTATATCAGTCTACATTACATACATTGTACATGTTATTATAATATTCTTAGTTTTTATAAACAAATGTCTGGTAATAAAACATCTAATAACATCGAAAGATACGTAAAATATCTTTTGACAGAGTAATATTCGTGTTTAGTGAAACAGGAATATTTATCTGAAATACGTTTGAATGCAGCGAAAAGTACCATTAGGCGTGCCTATCAAAAGGTTGAAGCATAGTCCCAGTTACGTTAAAACGAATGCCTCGTCATTTTACACATTATTCTGTAGGCTATATCGCTCATTCAATATCACACGCTATGAGCGCTAAGATCATTTCTTTTTCAATGATAGATGAATATCAACGATCTAATCATTTTTCTGTAGCTTCTTTTGCATGATTTATATCATGAATAATCGGAATAGTGGTAAAGACACTAGTACGATATATTATAACAATTTACTAAATAGCAGGAAAACTTTCTTCGTCTATATGTGACGTATTACGACGAACCAATTGTGCGCAGTTTTATATGACATAGATGATAAAATTTTGAATTTTCATTGTTTAATAAAGCTGATTGAGAATGTTTTTTGATCTTTTTAAAGGCATTCCTAAGGGTACTTTTCGCTGCATTCAACCGTATTTCATATAAATATTCCTGTTTCACTAAACACGAATATTACTGTGTCAAAAGATATTTTACGTATCTTTCGATGTTATTAGATGTTTTATTACCAGACATTTGTTTATAAAAACTAAGAATATTATAATAACATGTACAATGTATGTAATGTAGACTGATATAAGAATCATCCAAACTCGATGAGTCCTTCACGAAGAAAAAATTGATCAAAATCGTTTCAAAATAAACTGAACGACCTGTACATGTAGGGCTAAAATTTTTATCTCATATATATCTAATAGAGATATTTTATTTCTGAAAGTTTTAGCTCTCTAACTAAACCTACTGGTGAAATATGTCAATTTTCGTACTGGGATTTTGAATATTTTTATTGTAAAATTATTGAAAAAATCGAGTTCAAAAATCGATATTTCACCAGTAGTTTGAGCTCGAGAGCTGAAACTTTCAGAAATAAAAAATCTGTATTAAATATATATGTACAGGGTGAGGCAAAAGTTTTGATACAAGATCTAAATAGTTTTATTTCACAAGTGTGTAACAAAAATAGACGAAACTTTGTATAATACATGTCTCATGTACATAGAATATAGTAACGAAAAGATCACTCAAAACGACCTCCCTTGTGCTTCACAACTAATGCTAATCGTCTTCGCCAGGTGTCGATGGCGGCACGCACTATGTTCATCGGCAACCGATTCCATTCTCGAACCAATATTCGTTTTAACGATTCCAAACTGTGATGGGGTTTTGCGTTGACGATCGCTTCTAACGTTCCCCATATTGAATAATCCAACGGGTTAAGATCAGGCGAGGACGCTGGCCATTCCTAGGAACTGATAAAATCTGGACAATTGTCGACTAACCATTGCTGTGTTGACTTTGCTTTATGAGCAGGAGCTGAATCTTGCTGAAATATCCATTGATTATCTGAATACAACGTACTGATGTTGGGCATTAATGTGGATCGCAAGATTTCATTTTGATAATGTTTTGCATTGATTTTGACGCCCTGTTCAATGAATTTCAATGGGATTTTACCGTTGTAGGATACAGCACCCCATACCATGGTAGATCCCGAGTGCTGAAACCGCTGCACGGTTCTTATATTTTCAGGAATATCTTCGATTGATAATGCGTAGATTCGATTATTTTGACGATTATATTTCTGTTCGACGACGAATAACTTCTCATCCGAAAATACGATTTTTCGAATATCATCGGAACCGTGCCGGACCAACAATGCTTTACATCTTTTAAGCCTAGCCACCGTTTGCTTCGCCGATAGTCCATGTAAATTACGTTTTTTGTAAGGTATAAGACCGAGATCAATTTGCAAGATTCGTCGCATTGATCGATTATCGATATCTTCTTCCATTGCTAATTTTCTTGCGGACCTTTCAGGATTTCGTCGGATCTTTTCTCTTATTCTTTTGATGCGTTCTTTGGTTCGACATGTGCGAGGTCGGCCAGTTCGAGGACGATCTTGTATTGACCCAGTATCACGCAATCGACTTATGGTCCGATAAACACCATTACGTGTTATTCCGAGTTGTTTCACATGCCGAAAAATTTGTCCGCCGGTTAATCCTCGCTGAAAATATTTTTGCACAATCAGTCGATCTGAATTCATGATCTCGAAAAATCCAAAACAAGTGAACGGCGAACCAATACTGTAGGGGTAGACAGTAGACATGTTGATATGTCGTATGCATTGAACCAATTGTAATTATAACAATGGAACACAGAGGTCAGACTTATACAACTTTGTATCAGAACTTTTGCCTCACCCTGTAATTAAAATTTGAGCTCTCTAGCTCAAGAAAATGAAAAATACCATTAACAATTTATTATCAGTCATTATGGGTGCGGGTATAGGTGTGGGTCATGATCTAAACACCCACACTCACACATCCACGCTCACACATCGACGCTCACACCCCCGCCCACACCCCACGCCCACACCCACCAAAGAAATTTTGCAAAGATCTTTGTGCACTGTATTAGAAATGAAAACAATACTGGTTTGTCTTCTCTGTTTTAGATGGAAGAAAGCAATGTGGCAAAATCACCGATTAAAACATCTAATTATTTTAACCTTCTTGAAAAATTAGACACTTTTTTAAAAAGCATGAATTCCACTGGATTAGCTGAGGACACCAACGGTATAGAAGAAATCGCATCTATTGTGACCAAAGACCTGATCCCAATACTGGCAGAAATGACTTCTCAGAGTCGTGCGATATTTCTCATAACAGTATTAAACATAATTACTCGTATATCTGCTTTCGATAAATCTGGCATCGTCATTGCAGGAAAAATGTTTAAATCAATGTTTTCGACATTATTCAATTGTTTATTAGGTATTGTTTATGATAAAAACGGCGATTACCAAAAATATGCCTCAGACATGATAGACTTGATTCTAATGAATCTGGCTCAAGATATGCTTGTTGAACAGTGCTTCGAGCGACTTCTGGCGAACAATAAGACCTCAACCACAAGTAATATTTTTTATGATTATAGGTAGCAGATTGTGTATACAGTACATCATGAAAATTATATATGCCATATTAGAATGCGAGTGTGAGTATCTGTCGGTGCTAACTTTCTTTGCACCATAAGACTGCAAATGGCATAAGAAGAAGAGCAACTTTGGCACCTTTATATTAGAGCGCAAGAGTAAGGCAGGTGTATTCTGAAAGAAGTAGGTGTTGGACGTTGTCTCTCATGTGTCCAATTTTTCGCGGTGTTCACAATTCACGTTCTCCTACCGACAAAAGTAATATGTTCTGACAATGTTAGTAGTGTTGCTCTTTACTAGTTGATGATAGAGTATGATAAGCTGACTCTTGGTAGTTTCTAAATCCTGGCAGCCCTTCGTAGTCGTTGTCACTTTTTAACGCTAATAATATGTTGTAGTCTCCCGTAGTACTATCTGACCCATATCAGTCTGTTGTATGACCTATTGTACCTCACACACTGTTTTCAGATGATTTTTTAGTTCAGATAAGTCAGTCAGTGAGATATAGGACTACGACAGCTCCAGCTCACGAACCGATGAACTGTTCGCAAAAGTTCAGTTCAGTTCAAAAGAACTGTTCGAACAGTTCTTTGGGACTGAACCGAACTGTTCAAACAGTTCAGTTCAGCTCAGCTCAGATAACTGGCGAGCTATCCTATAGGGTAACTTTAGGACTAGGACTACGACAGTTCAGCTCAGTTCGAAAGAGCTGTTCTGACAGTTTTCTTGAGCTGAACTGAACTGTTCGAACAGTTCGGTTCAGTTAGAGAGGTTTAGGAAATGAATGATAGAGAATATATAATGAAAGGATATATGGAGGGGGAGAACTCAGCATGCCTACACTGAGAAGAAAAGGTTTCGAATTGGTTACAAAAACTGACACCATTTTAAGTTTGGTAATGTCGCTATTTTCTCAGTATATGGTAAATCTGATGAAAAAGGACAGCACATAGAAAAACACTATGAACAATTTTAACTCTTTAAATCATTTAGATCCCAACACAACCACTGAACCGTCCGCAAAAGATGAAAATAAATCTTTTAGAAATCTTATAACAGTTTATATGAAATTCGCTAGTGGTTTTGCTACCGAAGCAGTTATTCAATCCGCAGATGAGTTCGAAACAAAGTACAGCTCTGTTATGAAATCTCTACTGAATTTTATTAATAAATGCTTGATCGATTCGAACGAAAGCGCTTTCTCAGTAGTGCAAGACGCAATAGGTAGCATTTTAAGTCTAATTTGGAATTTGACCAGCAAAATTGCACTTGTTCCCATGTTCGTTAATGTAAGATGCGTTGAAAATATTGTTGAATGGATTGGTAAAGATATATTCCGTTCTAACATCCCAAAACTTGGTGAACCAATCTTTGCCATCGTTCACAATTTATCGAGGCACAAAAAGGGCTTGACAGAGCTACGAAGAAAAAAAGCATTCGATATTATCATGAAATGTCAGCTGTTAGTCAACCAGGCAAATAAAAAATATATAACCCAACTGTTTGGTACATCATTGATAATACTCTCTACTAACGATCATGTACAAGAAGAAAACAAAAAACTCATGCTACAGATCAGTAGAAACTGGTATAAATGGAGTCAGAAATGTGTTAAAACTGATGACTTAATGTATGACGGATATTCTTTGTCGGAGTTGTTCGCGTTATTGCAGCGAGCTTTCTCTATCACTTTCATAATGAAAGATATTTTGGGTAATAAATCAGACGTTGCAGAGAAATCAACACAATCCTTCACAAAAATGTTTTCATCTATTTATGGAGTATTGTTTGATGAGGAGGCGGACGATCTCGAAAAATCTGCTGCAAAATCTCTCCTTCGAATTCTATTGCGTATTTCGTATCATAAACAGTATAAAAAATATTTGGTTGGAGATGATGCTTTCTGCGTTACTATTCAAAGTATTGCCAAACGTCCAAAACAAGATGTTGCCAAGCGCATATGCTGTAATCTTCAACTTAAACTACCACAAGACGAGTCGAAAATAGCAGCGTCTTCAATGATCTACATAAGTTATAACTGGACAGATGAAGAATTTTGTAAGAATTTTGTAAATGCGCTAAGTGGCAGCATATCAGTAATACCGATTTGGGTCGACTATGAACGTATGGAGTTATGGGATGATATGCGGGAATACTCATTTCAAGTGATTGAATCTGCAACAATAGTTGTTGTCATTATGTCAACAGCCTATGCTGCAAGTAAGACTAGCTATAAAGAATTAAATTACGCCATCGAAGCTGCCAAAAACTCGACTACGAACAAAAAAATTATAATAGTCGAAGCAGAACCCAAATTCAAATGCCACCGATCTCGGATGAGTGGTTGGTTAAAAGAGAATGTTGTTATTTCTTATGACGATAATATTGGTAATATGGTTTCCAGAGTGCATGAGTGTATTGAACGTTCGAATAATGCACAGATAACATGCTTACCTCTAATCAATACTCAGTCGCAAGTTTGTTCTATTACGTGAGACATCGTCTTTTTCCGCAGCAAATACATCAAAGTCTTCATGTTTCAACTAATTTGTTTTTCAAAGTAGTATATGAACGTGTGAGAATTATTTCATGTGTTTTGATAAAGTCCCTGGCATCTTTTCATGCTGTATTTCATAATAATGGGCTTCCGTTCAAAACTAATTAAGTGGCTGCATTAACTACTAGAATAATTTTACCAAACCAACGTCTGTGTTATAAAATACAATTCTATTGAAAGGCATATTTTCTTCGATTGTTCATAGAAATATACATGACAGTCTATGCAACATTTATCATGCAGTAAGAAACATGACTCGCGTAAATCTAGAGGGTGTAGTGGGTTTGGGTGTGGGCGTATGCTGAAGTCACACCCATACTCTTTACTGTTACAATGAAAAACGAATGAGTTGTAAACTTCAATATCTTTATTTATGATACACAGTATTTTCAGACAGATTTTCGAATAATCATGATTATATTCAATATGTAAAAACTTAATTAATAAACATATGCAGACATGAAGAGAATTATATTTATTTTAATTTTGAATCAAATTGAAACTGAGTACAGACGACGGACAGACAAAAGCATAATGTTTTGTAAGTTTATTTTCCAATTAAAGTATACTAAATGATCATGTTATGTTTGATTGCGATACTTAGTCACGACGAAATTGACTTTGAAGAACTTTTTTAATACGTAAAGTAGCTTCGTTGAATTCCTTTCTATAGAATTCTGATGGTAGAACAAAAATTATGAATACAAGCAATGGTGGCATAAAGGGAATAAAATAACCACTAAGATATAGCCATGGACTTTGTACAGATTTCATACATTCAGAGCCAAATGAAATGATTAGACGTGGAATAGCAATGATGACTAAGACAACAGAACTTAGTAATCGATGTTTTTGTTGATGAAATTGTTCGGATAAATGTTTTCTGTATGTTTTTTGTTGATGAGATTTTGATTTTTTTTGAGCCATTAAAATAATTAATAATACAATAGACATAGAATTAATAAAGAAAGGTAGAATAAAATGAAAAATATGAATAAATGAGGCATATCTTTTCATAGATGGTGAATAAAAAACTATACACCATGTTCGTTGTTCTTCTGTAACTTCTAATAAATCACGATGAAAAGGATCATGAATGAAACTTGCCAAGACGAACAGATATAATCCAAGAACGACTCGTTTAGCTGCTTTTTTACTTTTTGTTTTATCAAATTCGATACCAAGTTTAACGGTCAATACTCGTTCAATGCTGACACATGAGTTTAACCATTCTTCGATGGCAAAGAATGGTGTCAGTAGCATATTCGTAAATAAGCAGTTCGATCGAAGAAAATGATAAATAGTAACTATTGATATTTGAGAAAGGAGAAGAAAGAGAAACTTGAGAGCAAATAATATTATTGTTAAAAGAGATGTAATCGATGCTAGAAGCAAATAAAACCCTGTACCAATTGCAAGTGATCGTTTGGTCTGAAAAGTAGTGATACACAAAGTACCATTGATAATGGCAAGAACGAGTATGATTATCGTAAAAGCTGTAGTAATTTTTACGACTGTTGGCTGTCGTGAGAATGAAACATTTGGCAAAATATCATAACCAAAAATATCATCTAATGATAAACCAAAACCTGTTGTAGTAAATTGACATCGACTACCATAATAGTATTCCTTACAAAAACATGATGATGCTGTTGGACAAGTACTATTGTCATGATATTAATATCGATCTTTGTCGCATAGGGTGTGGATGTGGGTGTAGATCTTTCATTGGCACCCCCATCCCCACACCCACACCCTCAATTTGAAATATCTTGAGGCTTTATTTTTGAAATCATTGTTATCTGTATTGGATCATCATTATCTTGTCTATTATTCCAGTTGGATTTTGTGAAGACATAAAAAAAATGAATGAGAATCACTTGTGGAATGAATAGTTTCCGAGAAAAATGAAGCTCGATTTTCATCACACGATCTTTGCATTTTGAACCCCCATAACCTTCAGAACAAAGACAAAAAAGTATTCATTTTCAGCATATTTTTCATCACCTGGAATACATCGACCATTAACAGGGCACGATTTAGCGATACATGATGTCTTTTTCAGATAACAACGTGGCCCAAATTTGTTAAGAGGACAAATACATAATGATCGATTATTTACAACTGCGATACAGATTGAATCTGATGAATAATCACATTTATTCTTTATTGTACATAGAATTCCAGAATAACCATCAAAACATTGACAGAAGTATTCATCAGAGTTGGAAAACTTTTTAGATTGCCCATGTGAGCATTTCAAAGGACACTTTTTCACATTCATTGCACCTGCCGGTATTGGAACATCGACTTGCAATGCAAGACGATATACTGGTAAGAATGAATATCGGATGGGGTAGATCATAGTAATATAATATTCGAGTTTTTCTTTATGATAGGTATCAATACGTACATAATAGATTTGATTGGTAACTTTTGGTCGTGTTGAGTAAAGAAGATAGAGATTGAATTTTTTTCGACAATCACGTACGGATAAATAATCCACTTGTTCCCATGAATGAATATTTATATCTTCATCAACAAACATTATTACAAAAGTGAATACCGTTCGCCATTCGACTGTTCGAAAATGTAATGTAAGACTAATTCGTTGATTTTGCTTTTCGCATATATGCCCGAAATAGGCTGATGGGCATAAACAAGAACTTTCTGTAAAATTATTGACATATACAGGAATTCCACGATAGCAAATATCAGTTAGCTCAGGAAAAGAATATTCCGATTCTGAATCGAATAGATTAGAAGAACTTGTTTCTGTAGTCGTTGTTGTCATACAATTATATTCGCAGATTTTGCCACAATAGAAGGATAGATCGCATGATTTTTCAATGTAAATTGGACGGAAAAAAATCACGACACAGGAGGAAACCTGATTGATACTGGTAAAATGATAGTCAAAATCACATGGTTTTTGAAAGTCAACATCATATTGCGATGGACGTGATGAATTTTGAAGCTTCCGACACCATAATTCTTGATCATCACGCGACCAACATTGTCCAAATAGTTTACCACGTCTTTCATAAGGTTGAACGCATTTTGTTTCGTTAAAACAACGATGACTTCTACGTCCACATATTTCCAAGTTCATTCCACAACGATATAATTCATCATAGCCACCTAAACAATCGATATGACCATCATTAATTTGCGAGAGAGGTAAACAAATAAAATTGTGACTAAATGATAATATACATGGATGGTCATTTGGGCGACATGGATTATAAGGACAGTTAGCTTCATCGATTGCATTTCGACAGTTCCATTTTCCATTACATCGTGAATAAACATTGTCGCAAAGCCAATTGTCGCAGTCCGTTTCATCTGTGTAGTTAAACGAATCGGTTCTCATATGATCGATAAAACCATCACAAAGTGTTGCGAATGTCAGATAAGAATCTTTAGATGTTCCACCTATTGACATTAAATCCATATCTTCTCCACCAATACACACCGGTCTATCGCCACGAATAACACTCATAGGAATGCATTTGTGTTCAGAGGTGCATCGAAAACCATAGTCAGTGTCGGGTAACGAACCATTATTTATAACTTTTTCGCCATCTTCTTGAAAGCAGTCGATAAAACCATCAACAACTCGATTTCAGGAGATACATTTCGGCGAATTGGCACATCGAAATGGTTTTGATTTTGAACAATCAACATAACTAGCCATTTTCGTCGAACATTTAACAAAAAAATGTAACATACCAGATAGCATAGCATTTCCTAACGCAATAGTTTGTCCATTATTCAATGTAGAGAAAGATCGACAAGTAAATCCATGTATTGTTACCGTAGTCGGAAGCCAATCACACATTTGTTGATCATAACATACATAATTCGGTGCAAGAATCGTAGGACTATAATCATTGGTTAGATTATTTGCATAGACAAAACGAACATGACCAAACAGTATCGGTTCAGTGGGAAAGAAGAACAATGATGGATAACTGTTTCGAAAAATATTTTCACTCTCATTTCTTGCCGGACATTCCACGTAATTGAAGAACCGTTTCGATTCAAAATGGGTAGTGTCAAACAGATTAGACTTTTGCAATAATCAGACGGTTAATGAGAATTTGCGTTTTGAGATAACTTCTCTCTGTTTAATTCTACTTCCCGATGGTTCCTGCATTCGTACATAGCACATTATCCATCGCCACATGACAACGTACGTTCATTTCGGCATGCTGTCTCTTCACAACCGAAAGTAGGATTATTCTTGCATCTAAGGTTTCGATCGATGGGTCCTCTCCCATAGGCAAGCTTTTATCGGAATAATCAATGGAATCTGGACTGAAAGAACCATCGTTGAAAAATTCTTTTGGAATGCAAAGTCCATTGCCACAACGGAACTCATTTACTTCATATTCGTTCACATATAACTTGCCACAATCGATTTCACCTTGGCCTCCATCAATACAATCAATCTTTCCATCACATCCTATGTCGTGAAAATCGCCGCGATTTTATTGATTTATCAAAAAATGAATGTAAAATCGCGGTTAATCGGTATTTTCTTTTTTTTTGAGATTTTTGATGCGTCAAGTGCAACACACGTCTCTGACTAGAAGACTAAAAAATCGTATACCAATAGAAATTATGTTTTCAAGCAAAAGATATTACGTGTATTTTTTTAAATGATATTTTTTTATCAGAAGTGTACTGTAGGATATTGATATTCTTGTGCAACTTCATCATTGAGTGTCTTCGATTCAATGAAGTATGAGTTTAAGTAATTTTTCAAATAAACAGTATAATTTTCTTTTTCGTTTCAGAGGTGCAGCTTACAATTTTCTAATTTTCTATTTTTTTTCTATTTAAAATAAATAAACTATATATTCTCTTTGTTTATAATGCTCGTTCATATATTAATCAATTACAATTTATTTTTATTTTTCATTTTAGATATGAAATAATGTTCCGGAATACTTATTTAATTGTTTACTTTTTCATTTCTCTGATACGCCGACGAGAGGTTCGTATTATTTTACTTTTTCTTATTCCTCTGTTATATGACTGCCTGTCAAAGCGCCTTCGTTGCCTGACCCAGATAGATTCTTCGTGTCACTCTGTTGCGGCGAAGTAGTGTAGTACTCGGGAAGGCCTGCATTATGTGCGTATGGTCCCTGACGTCGTACGTACGGGATACTT